CTGAGCAGGGAGCCCGATGCGGGGCTCGATCCCAGGACCCTGGGATCATGACCCGAGCCGAAGGCAGACGCTTAATGACTGAGCCACCCAGGGGCCCCTGTGTGTTCATCTTTAATGTTTCCTGCCCCAACCCTGGGATAGAACCAGGAATGCATACAAGGAAGCTTGTTCCTTTTACTGGAAAAGGATATTAGAAGATCTGGGTCTTTTGTTGATTGTTACTGGGGTGTGTCTACTTCTAATCACACTTGTGTACATAGCTCTGCCATTTCCAAGCATTACTTCTTGTAATGTTGACACACTTATTAAGACACCCTTCCTTTCTAAAAGTATCTAATTAAGCAACAACTCCTGGACTTCAACATTTGATCATTGGTGATAGTGGTAGATTTAAAAAGGTCACCAATTCTTTGCAGCCACATTCAGCAAGAAGTGGAGCTTAGGCACTCATTGAATCTGAGAGAGCCAGATGATTTGCTCTGACAAATGAATAACTAAGTATATATTACACATAATATATATTTATATTTATAATATAATTTTATTATAAAATATTATAAATATCTTATGATTATATATTTATATATGTATATTATATATATTAAAAATATATATAATATATACAGAGAGAAAGAGAAAGAGAATGCTGTGTGAATTACAAGCAAGGCAGGTCTGGCAGCTTCCATTCATACCCATTTGCTGCCCTGACATTGCCATGCCCCAGATTAGCTTATCTGGAGGATAAAAAACCACATGAATCGAGAGGTTTGACCAAGAGCCAATACCAACCTCCCATTGAGGGCAACTTGTATTATCCAGCCCCAGCTGAGCTGCCAGATGGCTGCAGTGACATGAGTAACCCAAGGTGACTATCAGAAAAACCACCCAACTGCAACTTTGTGTACTGCTTAAAGGAAATCCTTTCTTTCTTTCTTTTTTTTTTTTCTGGAGCAGGGGAGGGGCAGAGGGAGAGGAAGAGAGAGAATCTCAAGCAGTCTCCACACCCAGGCCCAGTATGGAGCCCAGTGCAGGGCTCGATCTCCCAACCCTGAGATCATGACCTGAGCCAAAATCAAGAGTCAGACGCTTAACCAACTGAACCACCCAGGCACCCCAAAGAAAATCCTTTCTGAATATTTCCAAAAGCAGACTACAGTTGTTGTTCTCACATGTTTTTAAACTTTGTATTCATGTATAATATACATACAGAAAAGTATACAGATTAGAAGTATGCAGCTCAGCATATTTTCACAAACTAAACACATTTGTATAATCAGCACTCAGATGTAGAAATATAACTTTAATATCAGGACCCAGATTCCCTTTGACCCCTTCTAGATACTATCCCTCCCCTTGGAGATAATTATGATCCTTACTACAAATATCATACATTAGTTTTGCCTGTATTTAATAAATAGTTATCATACTATTTAATAAATAGTATCATACAGAATGTAATCTATGTCTGGCTTTTTCTTTCAGCATTATGAGTTATTGTGTATAGTTGCAGACCATTAATTCTCAGTGCTCTACAATATTCTGTATTAGTTATTGATTGCAATGTAATATATTACCACAAATTTGGGGCCTTGAAACAGCAAACATGCATTCTATCAGAATGACAAAATAATTATTATATCACCAACAAAATTCTGCAAACAGTTCTCTTAAAATCTTTATGGGCCTTCTATGAATCTTACTGAGGTTAACCATTAATTAAATGAAAGCCATAGCCACAAGTATTATTGATATAAGCCCTTATCTACTCTGGGCTTCTGCATAGACTGCTGACAGACAATGCTTTCTTAGGAGTCCTATTGTCAGACTGAACCACTCCCTGAGGCACCACCTTAGATCTTTCTTAACAAAGATTTATATTCACATCCTTGGCATCATTTTCAGATTCTGTTTTCTTAAGGTTCCCTAGATATGATCTTTGCCTGGAAGCCATTTTTGGATTTTTTTTTAATATTTTTTTTAAGATTTAATTATTTATTTGACTGAGAGAGACACAGTGAGAGAGGGAACACCAGCAGGGGGAGTGGGAGAGGGAGAAGCCCACTTCCCGCGGAGCAGGGAGCCCAATGCGGGGCTCGATCCCAGGACCCTGGGATCATGACCTGAGCCCAAGGCAGACGCTTGACGACTGAGCCACCCAGGCACCCCCATTTTTGGATTTTAGTATCATTGGTCCTTGGAGGGGCTAGGCATCGTCAAACCCAGCAACCCCCAGCCCCTTTCTGTTCAACCTGCCTTCCTTTAGCTTATCTCTTACTTTTCATTTTTACTCTAAGCAGCAAGAAGAAACTAGATGGCACCTTCAATATTCTGCTTAGAAATCTTCTCAGTGAGATCCTCAGTTCATTTGGTGAAGTTTCTACCTCCCACCCCACTGCAGGTGGCAAGATTGCCAAACATAGCAAGACCTCCTTTCCTTCACTTCCCTTACTTTCCCCACTTCCCTGCAACTGTAACATCCTTAAAGACCATCTGGCTTCTAACAAGCTCTTCAATATTTCTTGATCTTCACTGACACTCCTCAAATTCCCTCCTGCTTCTGCCAAGACCCAGTTCCAAAGCCATTCCCACATTGTCGGGTTTCTGTTATGGCAGCACCTCATATCCAGGCTTTGGCCAAGCCCAGAAGCTAAAACTCATACATGGGGGCCAATTATATATGCTGTTCGGAATCTGCTTGCTTTTGCTTAACAACTTTGGAAATCATTCAGTATCAGTAGGTATGGTTTAACCCAGTACCCTATTGTCTGACGGAGCCATATCTTTAAAATTTTTAATGATTAATATTTACAATTTAAGTGATTAACATTTTAAATGTTAAGAGATTTGCCAATTGCTCTCCTAAGTTGTATCAGTCTACACTCACAACAATGTATGCAGAGGCTGTTTCTCCACATACTTGACCATACAATGTGTTAGCAAACACCTTGACCTTCACTAATTTGGTAATCAAAAAACATTTCAGGGGGTGGGGGGATAGGTGAAAAGGATTAAGAAGTACAAAGTTCCAGTTATAAATAACTCACGGGGATAAAAAGTACAACATGGGGAATATACAATCAATAATATTGCAATAATTTTGTTTAAAAAATTTCACTGTTGGGGCACCTGGGTGGTTCAGTCAGTGAAGCATCTGCTTTTGGCTCAGGTCATGATCCCAAGGTCCTGGGACTGAGCCCAGTATCAGGCTCCCTGCTCAGCGGAGAGTCTGCTTCTCTCTTTCACTTTGCTCCTCCCCTGCTCGTGCTCTCTCTCTCTCTCAAATAAATAAAATCTTTAGAAAATTAAAAAATAAAAATAAAAAATTCCACTGTTGTTCTAATTTGCATTTCACTTATTATGAATAGATCGAGTATACTTGCATATATTTAAAAGTCATTTTCACTTTTTCTGTCAACTGCCTAATCCTGATTTTTGTCCATTTGGGGTGGATGATCATTTTTTCTTATTGATGTTTTACAGCTCTTGAGGAAAATAGACCTTTATCTGTCTTACATGTTGGAAAGATTCTTTTCAGTTTGTCATTTATCTCAAGTTTGTTTATAGAAATTCCTTCACTCGTGGTTTTTATATAGGCAAGTTTATTACTATTCCCTTTATATCTTTTTTATTATGTTATGTTAATCACCATACATTATTACATCATTAGTTTTTGATGTAGTGTTCCATGATTCATTGTTTGCGTATAACACCCAGTGCTCCATGCAGAACGTGCCCTCTTTAATACCCATCACCAGGCTAACCCATCCTCCCACACCCCTCCCCTCTAGAACCCTCCGTTTGTTTCTCAGAGTCCATCGTCTCTCATGCTTCGTCTCCCCCTCCGATTCCCCCCCCTTCATTTTTCCCTTCCTGCTATCTTCTTCTTCTTTTTTTTTAAACATATAATGTATTATTTGTTTCAGAGGTACAGGCTATTCCCTTTGTATCTTGCTTAGAGATCTCTTTCCCCACTCCAAGATTGTAAAAAAACAAAACAAAACACAAAAACTCCATGATTTCCTTTACTACTTTTCTGGTTTTGTTTGTAATATTAAAATATTTCATAGATCTGGAATTTATTTTGGTGTAAAGAGAGTGAGAATTCCACTTTCCCCTCATCTGATTAGTCAATTCTTTGTATACAATTCATTCAACAATCCATCCTCCCCTCCCCCCCGCGTTTTCATTATGTTCTACATTTCTTATTGTGTCTTGTTTTCCCTATTAGATTTTGATACATCTTTTATTAGAACCATGGAACCACAGGACTTTGGGTAGTGTCCTGAATCCTGCTGCAGGGAAGAGAGTCTATGGGTCTAAGGCTTGCATGCAGAATTACAGCCAACCTAGCCACTTCCTCCAGCATCTGCAACGAGGAGCAGTTAGGGGAAGCAGGCCTTTGTATTACTTCTCGAGTCTGTTAGATGATTGGAGTGGGGGTGTTGCGGGGGAGGCGAGAATGGGAGGGAGGGTGTGAACCTGTCTTTGTTAGCCGGGCAAAATCTTTATTTTCCAGGATCTAGTCTGGTTTCTTTTATCTCACCCTAACTACCCAAACCTTCCTTGGAATGGGGTTGTAGGGCGCCCCCACCCCATCGCCTCCCAGAGCCCTTATTCCCTATCCTTGTCTACAGCCTCGATGAGAGGGAGGCTCCGTGCGACTAGGGAATAGATTGGGATGGGGGCAGGCCCTTGAGACGCCAGGTTTGCAGGCGAAGGACTGGGAGGGTCGGGAGAAGGACCTTCTCGAGGCGCCCCCGCAATGTCCTCTGCGCCCACCAGAAGGCGCCCGGGCGCTCGCATTCCCCGCGGTAGCCTGAGCCTCCGCCGCGACGAGCCCGGGAGCCGAGCCGCGCGGCGCCGCGATCTGAAACCCGGCGGCGGCCTGAGCCCTCCCCTCCCGGCAAGTGAGACAGGGTGCCGGGGAGCTCCGGCTTTGTTTCTGGGGCTGGGATGCACGGTTTCTCAACTCCGTTCTCCACCCCCACCCCCCCGCGCAGGAAACGCCCAGAACCACCCCGCGCCGTGGTCTACAAAGCCCGGAGCGTCCGAAGGCGGGAGGGGTTGGGCGAGCCCGGGAGGCAGGAGGATCCCCACCACACAGGCTCACGCCCGGCTCCCCCATCAGGCCGCCTCCAGCCGCATGAAGACCCCCAGGCCGGGGCTGAGAGCCTGGAGCAGCCCGGACTGAAATCTTGTGGCGGCCTTAGAGCGTTAGACAGGTCAGTGCCCGGGCGGGATGAGGGGCCGAGCTGGAGGCGGGAGGCGGCGCGCTCGCGGGTCCCCCCGGTCCCCAGCACAGCTTCCCGAGGCCACTCGCGCGGTCACCTCCGCCGGGGGCACCCAACAGCGCGGGCGTGATTCTGCATTTTTCATGACAGGCAAGGTGTGGAGCCGCCCTGTGCAGCCCACCGGGGGCCAGGTGATGCTCGGACCGAGGGGTGGGGGACACGCGGGCCAGGGCGGGGGGGCGGCGGGATTGGGGACGCCCGCTGCCCTAAGAAAGCAGTGCACTCCTACTTATTGGCGGCCGCGAGGAAAGCACCGCATCCAACCGTCTCTTGCATCAACATGCCGGGCCTCGGGCGTGAGAGGAAACCGAGATGCGGGAGAAGGCGAGAAGAAAGGCCGGGAGACCCGAGGCCCGGGCAGTGAAGGGAGGAGGGCCAGGGGAACGATTCGCTGTGCAAATCCCAGCGCGCCGAGATGTGGAGAGCGTCCCGGGGAGCTGGCAGGAGCCTCCAGAACCGCGGGGCTCGAGGGTCCCAGCCCACGCCTCCCCTCCGCACCTTTCTCACCCTCCCACCCCTACCGTCCACCAGGATGCGGCTGGGCCGCCGGGCCCTCTGTGTGCTGGTCCTGCTGCTCGCCTGCGCCTCGCTGGGGCTCCTGTACGTGAGCACCCGGGACGCGCCGGGCCTCCGGGCACCTCTTGCGCTGTGGGCGCCCCTGCAGGCCCCCCGCAGACCAGAACTGCCAGACCTTGCGCCCGAGCCCCGCTATGCACACATCCCGGTCAGGATCAAGGAGCAAGTGGTGGGGTGAGTGCCAGGGGTGGTGGGGGCAGAGCGGCACTCACTGGGGGTGACTGGGGAGCTTTTGTTTCCTGCACTGCTGAGCTCTGATCTCTGGGTTCTCCTGACTAGCTGGGGAGTGGGGGTGAGGGGGGGGCGGGGAGGGGGCTAGTTTCTGAGTCTTGGGCTGGGGGAAAAAAATATCTCTCCTCCTTGAACCTTGTCATGGTGACATGTAGGGCAGGGTGTGCAGGCAGAGGAGGGCCCTGGAACACTTCCTGATGTCCTGATGACTCCCCATGAAAGGAGTGTCCAGGTGGGGTCCTGAATGGTGGGTAGGCAACTCTGAAATTCTAGCAATTGACCCTGTTCTACACCTCTGTAAAATTCAGATTTAGGAGCTGAGTCATGCCATTGGTGGTCTCTCCTCCTGGGGACTATTTGAAGAGCAGTGTTTAAGGGGACAGACACTGGATGGGCAGGATTGAAAAGCCAAGGTGTGGGGCACTGTGTAAATGTTTTGTGAGGTGAATGGAGTTGTATGGCTGGGCTCTGATGACCCTTCGTCCTCCCTCCAGGCAGCTGTCTGGGAACAACTGTAGTTGTGAGTCCAGTGGAGGGAGCTTTTACCTCCCCTTCCAGAGGCAGGTTGGAGCCATTGACTTCACCAAGGCCTTTGACCCTGAGGAGCTGAGGGCTGCCTCAGCCTCCAGGGAGCAGGAGTTCCAGGCCTTCCTTTCCAGGTACCATCTTGAAAGGAGGGCTTCTCTTTGCAGGGGGAGGCCCAGAGGGCGGGTGTGACCGGAAGGAGAGCTCCTCCGCCCCTGATTCCTGCACTGTCCTCCCTTGCCAGGAGCCAGTCTGCTGCGGACCAGCTGCTCATAGCCCCTGCCAACTCCCCTCTTCAGTACCCCCTGCAGGGTGTGGAGGTCCAGCCCCTCCGGAGCATCTTGGTGCCAGGTGGGGAGAATGGGCCTAGGAGATGACCTAAGCCACAGTGGGGGTGGCAGAGCTCAAAGTTGGCTGAGGAAGAATGAAGGAAGATTGGAATGGGAAGTGGGGGACTTCTGATGAAAGGGGGACTTGGGATCAGAAGGAGGCTCATGAGGTGGGAGGTGAGGACAGAAGGGCCTCTAGGGTTGTCAGGAATCGCAGTAGCCTGTCACTTGAAGAGGTTTGGGGAAACAAATCTCTTCTTTGCTGACTGACCAAAGGTCAGGTGGTAGGTGGGGCAGGCCATAAAGAGCTACTGTTGATGGGAAGGAGTAAAAAATCAGTTAATCTAGGCTGCGTGCCCACATGTGCCCTGCTGTGGCTTCAACAAAGGGGGATGGGTGAGAAGGTCCATGCTGTGTGTGGTGAAAGAGAGAAGAGAAAGGGAAGAAGAATTCAAGGCTGTCTGTGGTTCTGACTCCCTCTCCTTCCTCCCAGGGCTGAGCCTGCAGGCAGCTTCTGGTCAGGAGCTTTACCAGGTAAGCGGAAACGAGGCTGGGAAGGCCAGATGGGTGCTGGAGGGAAGATGCTGGAGGGAGACCCTGGCTGCCAAAGGAGAGATGGAGGAACCAGGGAGGCAAGAGGCAGGTCTGAGGTCTAACCCTGTACTCTCCAACCCCCTCTCCCAGGTGAACCTGACTGCCTCCTTAGGCACCTGGGATGTGGCAGGGGAAGTGACTGGAGTGACTCTCACTGGAGAGGGGCAGCCAGATCTCACCCTCACCAGCCCAGGGCTGGACCAACTCAACCGGCAGCTTCAACTGGTCACTTATAGCAGCCGAAGCTACCAGGCAAACACAGCAGACACAGGTGAGAGGCCTGGGCAGAGGCAGGGGCAGGCTGGTTGAACAGAGAGCCCAGAAAGGCTAGAGCGGACAAATGGCAGAGGGTGTGGGAGACACTCGGGCAATGGCCAGAGCTACCCAGTCACACAATGGGCATTTCAGCTAGGCCAGCAGGACCAGGAAGGGAGAGAAGGGGCCTTTGTTCATCTGGGGCCAGAGCAGGCCAAAGGGAAACCCGAGCTTTGGGTGTGTCCCCCCTTCAGGCCAGCCATGGGGGCCCCAGGAAGTGACCTGCCCCAGGAGCCAGAAGACTCGAGCTCTATTCCCAACCCATCACTTACTGGAGGGCAAGGGACTTTATCTCCCAGAGCTCCCATTTCTCCTCTAGCAAAAGAGGCACAACACAATCCTCCTGCTTCTCTCCAAGGCTTGCCACACCAAACCCGCTCCCACTTTGAGGCCCTTGCGCTTGCTGTTCCCTCTGCCTAGAATACTCTTCCCCCAGATTTTTGCATGGCTGGCTCCTTCTTGTCATTTGGATCTCAGCTCAAATGTCTCCTCTTCACTATCACATTACTTGTTTTATTTTCTCTTCAATCCTTACCAGTATCTGAATTTTATTTACTTAGCCTGGAACCAGACTGACTAGGTTCCTATCTCAGTCTTGCTGCTTAAGAGTTGTATGAATGGAGACAAGTTACTTAACTTCTCTATGCCTTTTTCTGTAGTAGGAATCTACTTAATGGGGCTTGTGAAGATTAAATGAGTTCCTATATTTAAGGTAACTGAAAAAGTACCTGCCCATAGTAAATGCTCAATAAACGTTAGCTTTTCATTAAATCTCTTTTTTAAATTAAATCTTTTATTTTCTTTTCCCACCCTTTAGAATGTTAGTGCCATGGAGGTAAAAACGTTGCATTCTTGTCCACCAGGCCCAGAAGGAGGAGGCACTTAAATATTGATTTACTGAAAAGGGAATGTTATCCCAGCCCTAAGGGCCATGATTTGTGTCCTTTCTTCCCAGTCCGGTTCTCCACGGAGGGACATGAGGCTGCTTTTACCATCCGCATAAGACACCCCCCCAACCCTCGGCTGTACCCATCTGGGTCTCTACCCCAGGGAGGTGAGGCTGGTGCGCGCTAGGACCTAAATTCAGGTCTGGTGGGGAGAAGCTGGAAGAGGGAGGCCCTGGGAGAAGACGTCTTCCTGCTCCTCACTTCCCACTCTGGTTCTCTTCACCTAACCCTCCCCCTCACTCCCAGCCCAGTACAACATCAGCGCCCTGGTCACCATCGCTACTAAGACCTTCCTGCGTTACAATCGGCTACGGGCACTCATCGCCAGCATCCGCCGATTCTACCCAACGGTCACCGTGGTCATCGCCGACGACAGCGACAAGCCAGAGAGCATTAGCGGTCCCCATATCGAGCACTATCTCATGCCTTTTGGCAAGGTGCGCAGCCAGCGAGGCTGAACCGCGCGCCACAGGGCGCGCCCTCAGTCTGAAGTCCCAGGACCACCTACCTGTAATTTCAGAATTACAGGGGTGCCTGTTAGGCATGGCAGTTCCTGGAACGTTAAGCTCCGTGGGACAGGAATCGTGCCTGTCTTATTCGTACTGCATTCTTAGAATGTGCTGAGCCCCTAGGGAGCACTCAATAAATAGGTGAATGAATGAATGAATGAATGGGTGCACGCATGAGTTAAACGCGTTCCAACACGTTCTCCCAGAACACTGACTCAGAACCCCTGGCAGTGGGAAACTGCACTTTTTACCTAGCTCTGAGCCATTCGTGGGCACTGGACCGTTTAGAGGCGTCAGGAGAGAGGATGAAAGGTGGCAGAGGGGTTGTGTCCTATCTCTACAGACTCACTAACCATGTATACCCTACCCCCAGGGCTGGTTCGCAGGCCGGAACTTGGCCGTATCCCAAGTAGCCACCAAGTACGTCCTGTGGGTGGACGACGACTTCGTCTTCACGGCGCGGACGCGGCTGGAGAGGCTTGTGGACGTGCTGGAGCGGACGCCGCTGGACCTGGTAGAGGAGGGCCTGCAGGACGTGGGGTGGGAGAAGGAGGGCCTCCAGCAGGCTGAGGCAGTGGCGGGGGAGACCCGGGCGGGAGCGGACGGCCCTGGGACGGACAGAGGACGATGCGGCGGAGCCTGGGGGACAGTCCGGGTCCTGCAGGGGTGGAGCGGAGGAGGACGGGGCGGGCGAACCGCCCTGGGGAGCGGGCACAGATCTAGCCCCCACCCCCCCGACAGTCCCCGTCCCGCCTGGAGCCGTCCTCCCACTCCCGGCAGGTCGGCGGCGCGGTGCGCGAGATCTCCGGCTTCGCCACCACCTACCGGCAAATGCTGAGCGTGGAGCCTGGCGCGCCGGGCCGCGGGAACTGCCTCCGGCAAAGGCGCGGCTTCCACCACCAGCTCGTCGGCTTTCCAGGCTGCGTGGTCACGGACGGCGTGGTCAACTTCTTCCTGGCGCGCACCGACAAGGTGCGCGAGGTCGGTTTCGACCCGCGCCTCAGCCGCGTGGCGCATCTGGGTGAGTGGCGCCCCCTCCCGGTCCGGCCCGGCCCAGCAGGGACCCCGGGGTCGGGGCAGGGTGGGGGGCGCTGGGCGAGGCTCCAAAGGTACCGCTACTCCTACGCCCACCCCCCACCTCCTCCCGTGGAGCCCACGGCTGGCACCCGGGGCCCTGGGGGGCAGTTCTGCGAAGATTTACCAAGATCTGCGCCCTGGCAAGGGACAGAGCTCCCACCCTCCCGGCCCGCACACCATTTAAACCTCCACGCCCAGCACAGCCGCTGGGTCCACCTTTAACTTCCCCACCACTGTCCCCGCCCCCTTTACTCCACTCCTAGCCGCTTCCCCTGGTTCAGACCACACTCCTGGAGCAGCCCATTCAGTATCTATTGAACCTTTAGGTGTGTTTTGGGGAGGTGGGGAGGAGGGTAACTTATCAAAGCACAAGGTAAGTATGTTGACTCTATTTTACAGAAGAGCCCCAAGAATAAATTACTGGCCCAAGGCCCTCAGAAACCGGGTCCTTGCCTGTGCACCCTCCACACCCCAAATCTCAGTTCTCCCTTAAGGGTTGGCCTTCTATAAGCTTCAGACCTTTCATTGTGTACTCCCTTACCCTCCTCCCCCCCCCCCCAGAATTCTTCCTGGATGGGCTTGGTTCCCTTCGAGTGGGCTCCTGCTCAGACGTCGTTGTGGATCATGCATCTAAGCTGAAGCTGCCTTGGACATCAAGGGATGTGGGGGCAGAGACTTATGCCCGGTACCGTTACCCAGGATCACTGGATGAAAGTCAGGTGGCCAAATATCGCCTACTCTTCTTCAAACACCGGCTGCAGTGCATGACCTCAGAATGATGGCCTCTAGGGGCCTTCAAACTGTCAGGCTGGGCCTGCCTCCTTGTCCCTGCCAGGAATTTCTAGAAAATCCCAGGAATTCCTAGCAAATCCCACCACCCGGTGACCGCTCCACTGACTGTCCCTGCTCCCCTTCAGAATCTGATCCCAAATAGGGGCTTGTCCTGGTGACACTCCTCCTTTCTGTGAGTGCCCAGGGTTAGGGACGTGATGGAGCCGTAACTCGTCCCACAGCCAGTGCCAAGTCCTCCCCCCCACCTCCTTCTCGTGGGGCAGGAAGTGGGGGGGGTCACTTTCCAAGTGCCAAAGAGCCCATGGGGACTCTAAGAACTTAAAGTGGAAATACTCTCCTCTTATCTCCTTGGGACTGAGGGGGTGGGGAGGCCCCCCCACATGTGTTCCCAGGGCTCTGCCCCTCTCCCTCATCTCTGGACCCAGGACTCTGCATAGGCTCCAGCCCCGACCCCCTCCCCCACCCCATGGAGAGAACTGGTGACTCTGGAGCTGGGGTGAGGGCTGGTGAACACACAAGTGAAAGCCATTTTTAGTTGTGTCTGCAATGCTGTGGGCATGGAGAAAGGGGCACCAGGGGTCAGTGTGCGGACACCCAGGCTCACTTCATGAACCCCAGAGGCTCTCAGCTTTATTTTATTAGTTACATGAAGTAAGGGGACTCCACACACACATATTGCTGGGGCCCTCCACACTCCAGATGACTGGGTCAGACCCACACTGTGCAAGTCTTTGGACCAGTAGGCTCCTGGAAAAGAGAGGGGAACATGTCAGGGACAGCTTAGGTACCGTCCTCCCTCACTCAGCATTTGGCAGTCCTCTGAGGGGCACACCACCCCACTTTGAAATCTTAGCTCCTCAGTTCTTCATGCAGAGCTGGGCACAGTCTCCCTGGCTTCGCCTTAGATTGACTCATCATTTCATCCCCTCCCTCCTCTAGGTTCCTTCTCAGTCCCCTGCCCAAAACCCTCGGCCTAGATCCTCAGCCACTGACTCACATGTGACCTGCTATAACCCAGCACCTCCTGGATTTCACTCCTGTTGCTACTGCCCCCTCACCAGTCTCTCCAGGGCATGAGCAGCTGCATCCTGGACACTGACAAACAGCTGTTCTGGGGTCACTCTGTCCAGGAGTCCTGCCTGGGTCAGTGTCCCCAGCACTGAGGCTGTGTAGAGAGGGGCATCAGGTTCTTAGCTCTTAAATCCACACCGTGTCCTTTTCCCTCCCCCAAGTGTCCAGTCATTCCCCAGGCTCCAGGTTCCTCCAGCCTCCACACCTCTCACCATTACACTGAGCCAGGAGAAGGTGGATCCCAGCATCTCGGCATCGGCTAGCCAGCTGTGGAGATGGGGCAGGGGGTCAAATCCGACGTCAGAGGGTATGCATGGGATACTAAGGGGACTTTCTCTTCAACCTACCCTATGCCTCACCTGTAGCACTTCTCTGGCTCCAGCAGCATCTGCAAAGGCGATACCACTGCAGTCTAGGACCACCACTCTGACAGGCTCAGCAACTAGGATGGGAGAAGGCAGGGGTAGCCGGACGCCCCCGCAGGTCACGCCCAAGTCTCCTTCCTTGTCACCCCATCTCACCTGCATCAGGTGGGCTATCAGTCTTTGGAGCCCCCTGTGAGTAGAGAAGGGCAGTTACCATCTCCAAGATGCAGGCATGAACGTGCACCCCTTCAGAAGACGCACCGGCCTCTCTCGCCCAGAGAAGCCACACTCCCCTCTGACCAGGTCTCTCACCTTGCCTCCTTCTCCAAGCCCCAGGTGCCACTCCAGGCTGCGGCGAAACTGCCCACGGGTCCCAAAGTAGATTGGTGACGGATAGCTCAGGATGCAGAGCCCCGGGACCTTGAGGAGCTAAGAGGGCAGAGGGTCAGAAAAACACCCGGATCTAGTCTTCCCTTCCCTCTTCCGTCTGTAGCCCACCCACCTTGTGGCTTTCTCTGAGTGGCCTGTAGAGCTCCGTCCCCTCGGCAAGTCCAAGTGCCAGGCACTGCACCCTAGGCAGGAAGCTGGGGTCAGATTCCCAGCCTGGCCTGGCTGGAGAGTCACCCCCAGGCACCTGTTCTCTCCCCACTGCTCTTCCCAACTCCTCTCATCTCTCTTCCCACCTCTGGGTGCGGCAGACCACAGTCATCATGGAGAAGACCACACCAATGGCCAGGCCCAGGTCCACACTCAGGATCACTACGGCCACCCATGTGACTATCCATACGGCCTGCAGGACAGGGAGGGGAGGGAAATGCCAGGCCATCACTGCCCGGGAAAGAGGTCCAGGGGTGGTGCCAGCCAAGGCAAATGATAGGGAGGGATGGCTCAGGAGGAGGTAGAAAGAATGACAGGAGGAAGGGACAGGACTGACCCAACAGGGGATACACACCAAATGCAATGACCCCAGACCTTGCACCAGCTGGGGAGGTACAAATATTCAGGCCTGAAGGGGTTCAAACCCCACCCTCTACCTTGTGTCTGAGTAATGGGATTAGAAGGTATGCATGTTGAGGGGGGCAGAGTGGGGGGACTACAGAACTTAGGACCAGGACAGTTAGCTCCAATCCAGGGCAGAGGCTGGGGATGCTGGGAAATGGGAGGGGGCAATCTGGGGTAATTCTGCCACTTCTCACAAAGTCCATGCGGCTGATGCGCCATAGCTGTGGAAGTTCCTGCATCTGGAAGAACATCTGGCGCATGCTGGAGATGTTGATGCAGGCCAGGACAGCCTTGGGGGAGAGGAGGCAAGCTGACCGCCCCAATGTCCTAGAATATAGCCACCCCTCCCAGCCACCCCCATACCTCCTCTCTTCCTTACCTTGGGCAGATAATAGAAGAAGGGCCCCAGCCACAGCAGCACTAAGAGAACGACTATGCAGGAGAAGAGGCCTGCCAGCTAGAAAGAAGGGGGGGTGGGAGCCGAGAAGCAAGGGGGCCTCATCCACCCCTGTGTGACAGCTGGCCGCCCTGCCCACTCTGCCTCACCTTCCTTGGAAGTCTCCCTCCTCCCAAATCCCCTTCCATGAAGATATTCCTCAGCCTCCCACTCCCTCCTTGCTATTCTGCCCCTCACACCTACCTTTGCCCTCTCCCAGTGAAATGCCTCTCCTTCTCCAGTCCCTTACCTAGATGTAGTTCAACTTCCTTATTTTTGTAGCCCGTGTCCATCTTAAAAGCCACTGTTGGATTACCCTAAAAGCAGGCTCACCACATTCTTAGGGGACCGGCAGAGTAGGAAACCAGAAATATTAGGGGGAGACTTTCATGTGTGATATTTCTTTTCAAAAGAAAATGTCCCCGTTGGCGGGGGGGGGGGGCGGGAATCAGAAGTTTGCCTCTCAAATTTATTTTACAGTTCAGTTTTATTTTTATTTTGAGCTACATGTGGGGCACCGTAAACTTTGTCAGTGCTTAGAGTCCACTAAGGTCTTAAAGGAGCTTTGTTATCTTCTGTCTCTCCTATCAGAAACTCCCACCGCCTCACTCTGCCCAACAGACTCCTATCCTCCTCTATACGGCTACCCTCTGGGGAGCCACCAATCCTCCACCTGTTTCTCCGCCACCACCCCAACCTAGATATGCACCTCGCTTTCTCCTCACCCAAGGACCTGCTCTTACCTGTGTGTTCCCACCAGCATCCACAAGTAGGCTGGTGGTGGCCAGTGTGGCAGAGTTGGGAAAGCAGGAGAAGACGGAGGAGAGGAAGTTGGAGACCCCGTGGGCCAAGAGCTCCTGGAGGGACGCAGTGAGAGATGACGAGGAGAGAGACAAGGGCATGGGGGGAAGGGGGGATGTCAGATTAGGGGGGTATCTCCCGAATGTATTGTGGTCCTCCGGCAGAGTCACACCTGGTTGGAGTCAATCGTGTAGCTATACTTGTCTGCATAGATGGAGGCCAGGGAGGCGGACACAGCAAAAGTGACCAGTGCCATGGGCAGCGAGTCGGCCAGAAGCCTGGGCAGTGCAGCCAGGTTGGGGAGGTGGGGCTGGGGGAATCTGGAGAGAGAGGGATCCGGGGTGAGGATGGGGTGGGTCTAAGAAGGATATGGGGAAGACAGAGGAGACAGGGCGGGGTGCACCAAGAGGAAGTGTTGGGTGGGAGAAGTGGGAGAAAAGCAGTCTGGTGTCTTGATTCCCTTACCCTCCAGGCAGCAGGCCCACTATCTGGACGTTGTATCTTGTGTCCAGGGAAGAGGTGAAGCAGAGCACAGAGGCCAGAAGCACCTGGGAAAGAGCAAATCAGGGCATGGCAGGAGATGGGCTTCCTGGCTGAGGCTGGAAAAAAGCTTCACAGGAGAGAGGATCCTAAGGCAGCTGTTAGGGGTTTGCAGAGGCCCAGCCCCTGGGGGCGCTGGGATGTGTTTGGGATGGGTGCCTGACAGCCCATTTAGAGTGGAGGGCGGTGGGGATGGGAAAGAGGAATGAGGTCTACCCAAGGTTATGGAAAGAGATGGACCAGAGGAAGGAAGAGGGGCTCCCAGGAGGGATCATAGATATCACGAAGTATACCGAGCCATTCTAAGAGGGAGAGCTGGGCTGTATCTAGGCATAGATGACGTGTGGTTGGAGATGCGAAACACTTATTTAGTTGGGGAGAGAGAGAAATGTAGTGGGCGTGGGAAGGGAGAGACACCGTGAACAGTGAAGGGCAGGGTGAGGGGAGAGATGTGAGTGGAATGTGCTGTGGCGGGCGACACCGCAAGGGAGCGCTGTAGGCAGGAAGAAGGCATTCTAAGAGGTCCCGAAGAGGTTCCGTGCGAGAAATGGGACCGTGTGGGCGGGGAATTCCGGAGGGTCAAAATGTTCTGGGAGGAGGCCTGGAAAGGGACACGGATGCGCCGGACTTCTCATCTGTAAGCTCGCTGCATTCCACGAGGGGGCGGCAGCGGCCAGCTCCTACGGGATGGGCAGGGTCTGTGCGGTGCAGGGGGCCCCCGGACCCCGGAGCCGTCCTCACCATGATGATTTCCCCTGGGATCGGGGTGGGTAGCTTGTCTCGGAATCTCACGTTCAGTTCTTTGACAGGCACGAGCAGCGCCAGGCTGAGTGCCGAGATGGTCAGTTCGGCCAGACTGCTCCGGGGCAGCGCGGTCAGCACGGCGGCCAGCGTCTGCGGGCAGGGCCGGTGAGGGACGGCCCGGTGCCAGGGTCGACTGCCCCCGGCGCGGACCCACCCGGCCGAGGCAAGGCCTCCCGGCTCCCATCAGGGCTTCCACCTCCGCAGCAGCGACCCTCATTCAGCCACGTGGCTCTAACCTTCCCACCGCCCCCGTTACCCTCTAGCCCTCCACTCGCCGTCCTTCCTTCCCTCCTTTCCGGGTTTCCCTCTTCCCAGGACCGCTAGAAGCCGCTTCTCCGCTCTTCTCCACCCCCACCTTGAAGAGAGCGAAGCAGCCAATCTGGCGCGGGAGGGGCAACCCTAAAAGGCTCGGCAGTTGGGACACGAGCACGTGCAGCGCGGCTCCGCTGGTCAGCGCTTTGACCACAGGCTCCGACAGAAAGGTGGACAGGACGCCGAGCTGCAGCGCGAACATGCCCAGCTGCAGGGGAGGAGATGCGCAGTCACTGCGGGAGCGGACCCGCCGGAGCGCAACCCTTCTGCCTACACCCACGCGGGACACTTGTCCCTCCCTCGCTTCTGGCCCAATTCCCCAGGGGCCCCCACGTGGATCCCCCAGGATCCTCTCTCACCATCAGCGCCCCGCTCCCGAAGGCCAAGGCTGCAGCCGCCCCAACCCGCTGAGCGTCCAACTGTTCCCTCTCGATTCCACTCAGGTTACCCGCGAGGGGTTCAGGCACCAGCCGCTCCACGGCCGAGCCGGTCATGAGGCTGAGTACCGCGAAAGTTCCTAGGGCCGGGGGACAAACGTGCGGAGATCTCCACCAGCTGTGCCGCCTGGGGCCTGGCGACCAACCAGGCTCGGCGCCCTCTGCCGGGCTGCCGTCATCAGACCCCGCTCTCCCAGACGGCTGCTGCTCAGGTGAAGGCAGTGGGGCGGAGAGCTAGCTAGTGCAGCAGCAGCCCAGAACCCGCGGCGAGGGAGGAGAGGAGGGCGGGGCCGCCGGCAAATACTGCCCCCTAGCGGCCTCGCGGCCTCCTCCTGCAGGCGCCCCGCGGACCGCGCGCTCCTCTGGTGCACCGCCCGCTCCTTTCGGGGACCGCGCGCCCCTCTGGGGGACCGCGCAGCTCTTTCCCCCTCTTCCAAGTCCCGGGGATGTTCATGTAAACCAAATTTCATGGGGGAAGTAAAGTCCGAGGACACTCCCTTCTCTTTGCACCCACTCAGCACCCCCCGCCCCCCACCCAACCAGCAAGCCTGGCCTAGGTCCGAGGTTCCTGGCAGGGTAACCGCAGAGGCGGAAGGGAAGCAGGGGAGGGGAAGAGGGTAATAAGAGCTAAGGAGCTCACAAGAACCGAAGCCTCAAACCCCTGTCCATTTTCACACCACAGAGAAGGAGAGGAGTCACCGGGTCACTCACCGGTGGACAGGTGTCTCCCAGTACCCAACAGGGTGTAAATGAGGACGGGGAAGAAGGAAGTGTAGAGTCCAAACACTGGAGGCACGGAGGTCAGGAGGGCAAAAGCCATGCCTGGGGGAGAAGTGGAAAGAAAGATCTTCGGGATGTGTGTTGTGTGTGGGGGGTGGTGGCTGGGGGCAGGTGACCAGCCTCCAGAACGCCCCCCTCTCTACCCACACTCTTAGAGGTTGGCATGGAGACGCTAAATCATGCCACATGAGGGAACCGAGAGGTTAACAGGCCTCGGTGGGAGGTCGTGGGGCGGACAAGGTCACAGATCCGTGTCGGCCCAGACACGGGGGGGTGGGAGTGGGGGGCGGGGGGAAGCAGGTGTTTTGCCTCTCTCCAGTTCCCTGACCCGGAACGTGTCCAAGACTTCTCAAAGGATTGCGCAAATGAGGGCAGCTGGGGGTAGGGTATGCGGCTGATGCGGCTCGGTAGTCCTTACCCAGAACTTGGTCTCAGATCCTGTCTCCGAACCCCCAGCCACACCACCCATCCTTTTGCTCCCGGGTTCCCAGCCCTTGCGCCTTCCCGACGCCCTCCAGAGCTTCGGCCCCAGACAGGCTAGTGTTGGGGCCGCTCACCCTGGGGCACGTGCACGATGCCCACGGTCACTCCGGCCACGGCATCCCCAAGCAGCCAGGCCCGCCAGCGGTAGTGGGGCAGCCAACGCAGCGGGGGCAGCCGCGCCAGCAGCAGGCGCCACGCCCCCGGTCCGGAGCCAGCGCGGGCCCGCCGCCTCCACCGTCTGCACAGGCGCGACAAGCGGGGCTCGGCGAGTAGCTCCGGCTCCTGCTCTGCGTCCCCGAAGAGCTGCTGGAACCGAGCCTCGGTGAGCGGTTCCCTGAACTTGGCGCCCAGAGGGAACTTAAGGTCGGAGGCCTCTCCCAGGCCTGGGCAGGTCCTGGCGCCTGGTAGCCCACTCATTTTGCCCTTGGCCACCTCCAACCCCGCCTAGTCTTAAATACCCCTCCACCCGCTAGCCCTGAGTCCCGCCTCCGTGAAGCAGGGCCCAATCCGGCCCCGGAGGGCGCCCTCTCATGGGGGACCTTCAAGGGCCCGGAGACGGCAAAGGCTTGGGGAGAGGGCGTCTCTAGTTTGGCGTTTCCTGAGACATCCTTGGAGGGATCGCTCGCTCTGGAGCCTGCTGGGGTGGGGCGAGGGTGGGGGAAGGGGGAGGGTGTGTGGAAAGGTGTAGGGACAAGAGACATAGCGCACTCTCAACACCCAACACCCACTTTTTACCACTCCTCAGCCTTTTGACTCTGGCCTCCTGGCTGCGGGCTCTTTCCCCATTGGCCCTTTGGGAGGAGATAGCCGGCTCCTCCAGAGTGACCCATCATTCCCAGAGCCTCTGCGTTCTCCCCAAGAAGATTCAGCGTGCCCCCCAACACACACATGCCTCTCCCCCAGACCCAAATCCTCACGGGGTATACAGCTTGTCCCAAGAGATGCAAGAGGCTCTGTTGGCAGAGCAGTCTCACAGCCTGCCAAGATGGGGCTCAGCTTCAGTATGGGACAGGGATGACCGAGAACCACCACCCACACTTCTACTGGGAGCTGGGCCTCAATTCCCAGTTCAGGGCTTCAGAGGAAATACTGAACTGATCGCAAATTTTGATTTTTACTTCTTAGAAGCCAAAGAAACTTGAAGGGCCATTTATTACATTCAAGTGCTATTTACAAAGTTGGCACTCCAAAACACATTTGTAGTTAAGTTCAAAAGGGTCATGCACCCACCTCATGTACCTCTGTGGTCCCTCAAGAGATACAAAAGTTCTGGGATCCAGAATCCTGCTATTTTCCCCTTCCCCTCCTCCATTTACAAGAATACTTGGCATCCCTCCCCATCACCCTCTGGTCCCCAGTCCCTGACCCAAAAGCCCTGGGGGTGGGGTACAGTGAGGGTGGGTCTCCCCTCTTCAATTCCTCCTATTGTTCCCCAGAAGTCTTATCTGGGCTGTACGTCCTGTCCCCCCCTTAGAGGTCCCTCCCCCCATTGTCGGCCAGAGGGACCTCAGGCCCACAGGGAGGCTCCAGCTCCTCCTAACCATCCCACCCCAGCAGCCTATTGTCTGCTGAGGAAGCCCAGGTACACGTGACCAAGCCCAGGGGACGAATGGACACAGTGGACACACCGATGCCCAAGGACCCAGGACAGGGCATCTGGATATGGATCTCTGCATGTTTGGCTTTCTCCGTCCCAGGGGCTATCCCAGAAGTTGGGAGGAGTGAAGACCCCTTTGGGCTGTCCACCCTTGGGTCTGTAGCTTGAAGAAGAATCCCTTCCTGCTCACTACGGATATGCCTTGTGACCTCGCAGATGGCAAAAAGAAGGAGAACCCAGAGCCAAAAAGGGCCACAGGTCCCAGCATCCTCTCCACCTCCCCATTCTCCCTCAGCTGAGCATGGAGGCCTCGGAAGGAAAGGTACTTGGGCATTTAGTGCTTTAGAATCTGGGTGCTGGGGGGATGGTGGGAAGTCACACTACACTGGGCTTTCCAGTGGGGTCTAGAATGGAGGCCAGATGGGAGAGAAGGCAGGCTGGGAAAGGGGAGGATATATCACGGATCTAGGGTTTTCCAAGTTCCAGGTCTGGACTGCGAGATGCCGCAACTGCAGGTGAGGGACACAGACAGCGACACCCTGTGTCCTCTTGTCACCAGACCATCTGCAGGCCAGTGGATTTCTCCCCATCGCCTCACCCCACTTCCCCTTCCCTCTGCCAATACAGCAGCCTTAGTGATATCACAAAACCTTTAATCTCAGAAAACTGAAAAAAAAAAAAATCAAAATCAAAACCAATCATTTTTATCTGGCCCCTGCCCCAGCCCTCCCACCCACCCACATATCCTCCTTTTGGGGGGACCTGTGATGCATGCGTAGGGGTGGGAGCTGAAGGAACCTGTGTTCCTTAAGCAGAAAGAAGTCCTTCTGAGTCTAGGAATCCTCCTCCAAGTCAACACCACTCCCAGCCTTGCCACCGCCCCCCCTCCCCCCGCCAGACACATGAAGAAGGAATTCCGAGGTGGTGTCAGAAGGATTGCCCTGAAGTTCCTCGGGAAATGGGGTGGCTGGGTCAGCACCACCCCAGGCCTTCACCACTTAGAGCTCATCTTCATCCAGCTTGGCAAGTCTGGCTTGGCAGGGAGGGGTGTTTGGAATTGGTGGAGCTGGGGGAGAGTCACGAGGAGCCCGGGGGATGTCACTGAGGGCCTGAAGAAAGACTCAAGTTAGAGGAGAAAAAAAAGTCCCGGAATCCACCCTCACCCCTTTCTTTTCAGTGTATGCCCCTAGCTAAGCCACCTCCTCTTGCTAGACATCTTAGATCATCTAAGATGGTCAGCTTCTCCCAGGGTTAAACTGGAAGGGGGAAGGTAAGAGTAGGGAGTAGGAAGGGGCAGACAAAAGGCGGGTGGTAGAAAAAGGGAATGATACAGGGAGGAGGATTTAGGGATCCCAGAATAAGAGAGGCCCTCCCCATTCTACCCCCATAACAGGGGAACTCCTTTCCTCATACCTGTGTGTCCAGGGGCAGGGGGGCTCTGGCCACCTCCCCTTTGGGCAACAGCAGCAGGGAGGGGAGAGAGCCATTGATGGGTGCATGTGTGCTGACCTGGGCCCGGTCTCCAGGCCGAATTCTCCCAGGACTCCCCACCCCAAGCCCTCCTGGCCGCCCCAGGCTATTGGTCTGGCTCTCTCGTCTCTGATACTCAATGGGTGACTGCAATGCTGGGGCAAAGAGAGGAACAGAAGGAGGGTTACCACAGGTTCTTTCCCTAAGGGCTCTGCCCAGATCATCCTCCCACTTTGCCCTCCTCCCACGAACTGTCAGCCATTGTAAATCGCAGGGGAGATGGGGAGAAGCTGGGGTCAAGAGGGCAGGGATTGGAGATTGGGCAGTGAGGGATTCAGCAGGTCAAAGGGCTGAAAGAGCATGTCAGGGAGGGAAGGGTGAGAGCTTCACCATTGAGAAAGTCTCGCTGGCTTTCCAGGATCTGAGCCACTTGCTTGATCCAGGCCTGACTCACTGCAGGGTCTGCAGTCTGCAGGACATAGCGCTGGATCCCACCCTCTGGCCCTCTGGAGGTCAGTGCAAAGCGGCAAGGGTCACCTTGGAGGTTCCCCTCCAGTCCCAGGCAGCTCACCTGGATTGGCAAATAGGAGAGAGCCCCCAGATTCTTTAGGCCCTCTCTGGTTCCTGTCCCCTCCAACAAATCCAAGAGCCAGACATTCCCTCAGAGGCCTCACCCCATCCCAGCCAGACCCCTCCCTGCGCCCTCCTCCCCACCTTGATGCTGCTCTTGTACACATATCCAGCCTGGGAGCCTCCTCGGACTCCTCCTCCCAGGGCCTCACTGAAGATGACAATTTGCTCGAAGAGGAAGACACGTCTCTCTCGACCCCGGGAGGACAGCAGCCCCCCAGCTTCGGGCTCTGTGACCCAGAATGTGTCCTGGCCCAAGAGCTTCCCCTGAGCAGTGAGTTTGCCCTAGAACCAAAGGGTAGTGATTTTGAGAAAAAAAAGCAAGGAGAGAAAAGGGACATTCTCTGCTCCTCCCTCCTTCCCCTGATGCTCCCAACCAACCATGGGGTCAGTCCCAGGGGAGGGACAGTTCCCCACGAGGACCTCCCGAGTGCTCAGACTGGGGCCAAAGAGCATTGGGCCTCCAATTTCCTGTTCTAGCCCCATACCTCAAACCCCCGAAGTCTCCCCAGGGTCATCATGTCATTGCAGCGCTTGGGTACAAAGCACATGACCTCCACAGCGTGCTGGGTCGCAGGTGAAGAGAGGAGCATTGTCATTGTCGAGAAAGAGCCTCTTCTGACCATGTTTCAACTTTCAACCAGCCTCCCCATAAAAACCAGACAGCTCAACACCACCCAAGGAGCAGGGGGTGGGGGAGGGGGGAAACCAGGAGACCAAAAAAATAAGAGGTATGTGGTGTGTGTCCTAGCAGATTTGGGAGTCCTCACCTCCAGCTCTTCAGTATCCATCCCAGCTCTACTATAATATTTGAGAAAATCCTAAGATGTAGAAAAGAAATGCTCAGGGAGGTCTTGAGGACACCCCCAGAAACTCTCACATCCTCCCCCTGAGGACACAGGTGAGGATGCCCAGGAAGTCTGGGGGGAGCCTTAGGAACCCTGGGGAGATGAATGAGAAAAGGGCTGTCCCAGCCAGTGGAACCCCCAGGGAACAGATGGTCCTGACCTTGAGCAGCAGCTGGTATTTCATGATCCTCTGCACTGGTTTGATGAGGAGGTCGTTGAGCTGTAGGCGGTGCCCTAGCTGCTGCCGGAGCTCCTGAGGACAGGAATGTGGTTATGCAGCCTGGAGAGCCTGATGATTCTGTCCCCCTTCCCCCAAGGTACCTCAGCCACTGACCTCAAAGTAGCTGTCCCCAAATTCTGACACCACGTGCTCTGACTTGGGCTTGTTCTGACAGTACACCACGTACATATGCAGCCGGCGCTCCTAACAGGGGTAAAGGTTAAGGAGCGCAGGACTGGTGAGGAGAGAGAACACCTCTCTCGGGAGCCCTGACCCACTCCCAAGTCCCGCCCCTCCAGGGCCACCCTCTTAAGCCTCACGTGTTTGATGAATAGCTGAGCCAGCCAATCAGGATCCTCCAAACACCGCCGTAGCTCCTGCAGGAAATAGCTGGAGGGGTTGGCAGGGAAAAGGCTGGTCAAATACCCCCACCCCACACAACTGAGAGCTGCCTACCCTGGTTGTGATCAAGCTGCTCCAAACGTTCCTCAGGCAACAATGGGCCCCTGGCTAGGTTACAGAGAAAACGAGACATACGCCCTTCCCCCTCACTCTCTCGGGGATCCACCACTCACTCTCGATGCCACTCATAGATTTGCTGGATGTTCCCAAACACAATCCTGTCACGGCCTCGAAGACTCTCCGGGACCCCCTGAGCAGCCATGGTGGCCATGTAACCCTGCAGGAAGGTTGGGGTGGGAGCATGAGTGTGGGGGGCCAGCCCTGGTGGGGAAAACCCCCTCCCCCAAGAAGTCCAGCATGTAGGGGGTACTGGAAGGTGGGACAGAGGAGCACTAAGGCATCTCCTAAAATTAGCCTTGAGCAGAGGGAAAGGGCTGGGCTGGGACTGGGAAGAGAAAAGGGCACTACCTCCACAATCTGCCCCAAGTCGTCCACATACATTTTCTCTGTCTCTACCAGTTCACTCAAGACATACCTGGGAAGAGAGCAGGAGTGCACATCCTTGGTTTAGCCACTTCCTCCCTCCTGGACTAGAAGCCCCTTCATTACCACAGCCAACCTCAGAGGAAATTCCAAGTATTAAATCTAAAATGTGAGGGACAGTTCTCTGGAAGTTGCACAATGGGTGGGGGGGCAGAGGGGAGGGAGTGTGTGGGAACACTTACATACTCCTTTCCAGAGCCTTCCTCTTCTGTTCCTCCTCACTCTCAGGGGCTTGGGACAGAGTCTCCTCCTCAGGTGGCTGGAAGGAAAGAACATCCTAGAGTAAGTAAACAGATGCTTTTGGGGAAGCCATGCAGACCCATTTCTTCATACCTGTGTCTTATCTCCAGGGCCCTCCAACAATGTGGTCAGCAGGGTGAGTTCTGGCAGCTCCTCTCCTGTGGCTAGAGCTGGTTCCAGCATCCAGTTCTGGGAGCCAGAGGTCATGTGTCAGAGGTCATGGACAGTAGCTATGTCACCCCAGTGGCCAATGGCCCCCAACCTGCCCTCTCTCCCAGTGTCCTTCATGGATGTCCTACATGCTTTTGTGGTGCTCCCTGCTCACCTCATATGGTCCAGCCTGGCCACCGTCTGCCTCAGTTTCCACACTGAGACAATGTTTGGAATGATCCAACCATCTTCTCAGGCCACTGACTGGCCCTGGGGGGCCCGGGGAACAGGGGCCAGAGCTGAGGCCAGAGCTGGGGCCAGAGGGGGCAGCCAGACCCGAAGCAGCTGAAGCTGAGATACTCCCCTCACTGCCAGCAATGGAATAGGATTCTAATGGGGAGCGGGGGGAGAAAAGGGGCCAAAGATATTATTCCAGCTCTAGTTTCAGGGTCCCTAGGGAGCTCCCAGAGGCCCTTCTTCATGATGCTGAGCCCTCCCCCAGGGCCTGCTCTCTTGCCATCCTCATTTGAGTTGGCCAGGATAGAAAATTTCCCCTGGGCACCCTTGGGAGGAAGGACAGTAAACACCTGGGCTCCCAAGACCTGGAACCTCCAGTTATATATGGAGGCTCCCCCATATCCTGAGTATGCCATAGATATGTAGGGGCAGCCATCTGGGGAGACACTGGAAGCTGGGGGTGGCCATCTGCTCTCCTACAAGCCGCCCCCTTCCAATGGGCACAGACCATTCCCTGAGAAGGTGAGGGGGGAGAGCTAAAAGCCCATCTGCCACCCCCAGACCCCTCCTGTACCAATTGCAGTAATCACTATAGAAAAAAAAGACGTCTGCAGTCCATCTCCCCAACACATGCACAAACCCAATTGCGGGGTGGGGGGAGGCAAGTGAGGAGAGCTCATCAGGGTTCTCTTTGCCCTGGGCTCAGGAACAGAGGATCTGAGATTTGTCATAAAGCCCCTGGTAGACCGTCATCCTCATTCCTCCATCCCTATGTCCCTCTTCAGATCTGAAGTAGATTCTCAGCGAAAGGATTTAAGGAAGATCCAGTTCTAGGCCCAGGGGGATTGTGGATGGGTTTTTCTCATACCCTGTTGACTGCAGGACAGAGAGAAGAGTTTCCTGCCCCTTCCCCAATTTCCTTAACTTGACTGATTACAAATTTGGAGGCAGATGGGATCTTGGAGATCTACTAAGTCACTTCCCTGGAACACAGGTACAAGTCTCCAGCCTCTAAATCCCTAGGGCCAGGTCAGTCTGATGCCCTGAACCCTCAGCCCGCCCCCCACTCAACGCTGGGCCCTTGCGACCTCGCACTCACCACGACCCCCCCGGGCGAAGCAGCAGCCGCATTTTGCCAGCACTTTTCGGATCACGTGGGGACAGGCACAGCGACCCCCCTTGTGCCCCCCCCGCATGACGCCCGGGCCCCCCCGCACCCCCCACCCGGGCCGGCCATGCAGGGGGAATCACGGGGGGCGGGGCGGGGACGGCGCAGGGCGCACACCCCCCCTCCCTCCTACCCCGCTCCAGGCTGGGGGAGGGGGGGAGCGAGGGAACAGGGAGGGGGCGTCCAGGGGTAGGCGGAAGTCTGGTCTGGGGGAGGGCTGGGGGCTCTGCAGAGCCGGCGGCGCGAGGCCGGGCAGCCGAGCTGGGCGGGGAGGGTTTCCGGAACCCAGTCGGTGCGGGGCCCAGGGTCCAGATGTCCAGCGGGGCGGGGAGGGATGGTGGGGGAATCTGGGCCGGGATGCGGCAGCCGCTCCAGCTCCGTCTCCGGCCTCTCGGGTTTGGGGTGGTTCTAGGCCCGGGCAGGGAGGAGGCGGGGACCGACTCCCCGAGTCACTGGCGCTGCGCGGGTCCCGGCCGAACGGCGAGCCGAATAACAGGCCCGGCCGCGGTGCCGCCGCGGGGAGGGGCCTCTGCGGCCCAGCTCCGCCCTCTCCCTCCGGTTTCCCCCCTTCAGCCTGTGCCCGGCTCCAGCCCCAATCCCCCTCCCCCAGGCACCACCACGTTCCCACTCCACGTCCCCACCGCCTCCGCCTCTCCTCTCCAGCCTCGGTTCCCCGCCCCGGGTTCCCCTCCCTCCTGCCTCTCGCGCTCCCGACTGCGGAGCGCAGGGGTCGGGGGTAAGCCGGGCGGCGGGGTCTGCCCAGGTCGCCCCTCCGCCTCTGCGGTGGAGAAGGGTGCGGATGGATGAGCCTGGGCCTGAGTGAAGATGTCCTGGGGGCTGGGACTGTCCCTAGCCGCTCGGGGGTAGACAAGGCCCCTCCCTTTAGGAGATGCGTGAATGGGGAGCTCTGTGGGGAACGCAGCCCAGGTGCCGCCCTCTCGCCAGACCCTTCTTTCCTCCAGGCCCCAGGACTCCAGCTGAGGCTAATCACCAATTAAGGCGAAGTCCTGGAGGCAGGGCTGGCGAGGGGCCAGGGGTGGGGCGCGGGGACACTGCCTGCGGGGGCTCGGGACCGGCTGATGTGGGGGACGCACAGCGGACTAGAGGGCGAGAAGCGTGGAGGTCTTGGCAATTAAATGGGTCCCATGCAGATCAGATGCAAACCTTTATGCTAATAAGAGCAGCATTATTTGAATTCGCCACTTTGCGCAGGACGGCAAACTGTGCCCCACCCCACCCCCAGGTTCTTACCGAGCAGCGGAGCCCAGGAGGGGACCTCACGTTCGCGCTCCCCTTTCTGATCCCCCTCGGTACAGTCAGACTCTGTCTCGGTCCCTCCTGGCCCTAGGGGGCTTCTCTTCGGGGGCTGTGGAGAAAGGCTGGTGGTAAGGAAACCGCCCTCCACGCCCAGCCTTGACCTCCCGCTTCTCCTTGGTCCTCCTGTCAAATCCACATTGTTGTAAAAGGGTCGCTTAGGCTGGGTTGGAGGGAGCGGTTCACCCAGACCAGGGCCCTGGCCCTCTTTTGGATCTCATGGATTCCTGCGCCCTGCAGAATTCCTGTTTGCGGGTAAATTGAGTTGTGGGGTGCAGACCTCCTGAAGCCCCCTAAAGATTCCCGACCCCACCGTGGTCCCCTTTCTTACCCCCTCCTGCCCGGGGAGGGCGCATGCGCGCAGCATGCCCCCCATGACCCCCAGTATCCGGTCAGTGCGGCCAGGGGCGGGGCGGTCCGGGGGCTTCATGCTGGACCCCTACCCTGCTCCAAGTTTCAGGGCCGAGGGGGCACGGAAGCTGGGGGGCTCTAGGCCTGCGCGCGTCCGGGGAGTTGCTGCTGTGGAATCCGCCCCCCTGCCCGGCTCCGCCCCCACTCCCACCCCAGCCAAACTTCTCAAAGGGCTAGGGTTGTTGCTTTCTCTACAACCGAAGTTCAACAACAAACAAACCCCTCTTAATCCCGATTCCGTCGTGGATGCGTCAGGAGCCCACTAAATACGTGCCTTTTCCCCAGGCGCTCTGGAGGCAGAGACTGGGGAGACACACAGGGATTTCCCCGATCACCACCCCCTTCCCCTCCTCAGCAGGTTCCGCTCCCCACCCCACCCCCACCCTGGTCCACAGAACAGAACGGGTGTGGCATAGAGTTGCATATTTTACTTTATTTTTATTAAATTAAAAGCTACAGTCTGGCGGCGATTCCAGAACAGGGTAAGGAGGCTCCTTATAGGGGGCAGAGCGGGAGACAGACTGACAGAGACGGAGACACGGGAGAGAAAGGACAAGGTTAAGGTAGAAGGGGGACTGTTTCTGAAGAACACACAAGGCCGGCTCCTCGGGGGCTCACCTCAGCCCCATGCCCCCTCCCCCACACCGAAGTTCATCAGTGGAGCAGTTTGTGGGGGCAGGGGGCTCAAGAGAACCTCCTTCCCCACCCAGGTCCTTTCTCAGCTTAGTCATTGGAGCACAGCACATACCAGAAAAAGCCAAGGGCAGTGGAGGGGGTAGGGAGATTGGGAGTATGTACAGGGGGAGGAGGGGAGCAGAGCCTGGGAGATCCCTCTGCCAGAAGGGAGTGGCTCACACTGCACTGAAGCACTCGCCTGTGGGGGGACAGGGGAAGGGACTGCCCCCTCCCTCTCTGAACTCCTTCCCCAGTCAGACTGGTCCCCTATTCGTCAGACTGGTCCCCTATTCGTATGGTGTGGGGGGCAGAGGGAGAGAGGAGAACAGAGGCTTCCGCTGGGTCCTATGGAGAACAGCAAGGGCTTGGCAAAAGGGATGGCCTTCAGTCATCTGTGATACCCTTGGCTCTCAGCTCTTCTTGCACCCGGGTCAGGTAGGTGGGGTCTGGGTACCCAAACCTGGGAGCAAAGAGAAATGAAGGTCAGGATTAGCTGTTGCAGCTTACTCATATTAGCCTCATGTTCACCCTCATTCTGGGTGCCCCAGTCCAGCCCCTCCCCACCTCCCCTAAGGATATCCAAACCCGAGGTAACTTAGCCCAATTCTGCTTAGTTTTGTAGGTGAAGCTGGGCATACTGGACCAGGCTGAATGTAGAGAAACTGGCATGGAAGAGATGGTTGAATAGGTTGGGGGTGGTCCTCTCCAGTTAGGAGGCTCCCAGCAGGAGAGGAGATTAATGTCATTCCCCCGATGGAAATGGAGAGAAGGGGAGGGGCCAAGGGAAAGGAAATGAAGAAGGGTCGCACAGCTGGGGTCCCCCTGTGCAGCTGGTCTTGTGGTGGATGTCGTTCCAGGTGATGACATTCGGTCTCCCTGTGGTCATGGATGTGCCGATAGTGAAGGTGAGTCGCTGGTCAAATGCCTTGCGGAACAGGGTCAGCACCTTGTTGCCCTCAGGGCAGTCCGGGAGGTAGGCCACCCGGGTGGTGCCAGGATAGCGAACTCCTGGGTTTGGGTGTTCAGCCTGGGAGGGAGGGGAGGCAGACAGGACAGTGAGCAGCTGGGCGTCTGAAGGCCCACCGTGCCACCAGAGGGTCATCCTGGCCGGCTGTCTGTGCACCCCCAGCTAATGCTGACAGGGCAGCAACAGGCTGACAGCCTTTCAAGGAAGGAGAGACTTCCTTGAAAGGTTTGGGCAGCAGGAGGCTGTTTTTGGACAAAATCCTTACTATTAAAGAAGTTCTTTCTGCTGTCTGGATCCCTCAAGTCTCAATTCAGCAACGAGTGGATTCTCAAAAGTGATGGGAAGTAGCCAGTCCTTACTCACCAGATAACTCAGCAGAAATGTGAAGACTGAGAATAAGCTATCTTTCAGCCTTCCCTTCTCCACCTGAGAACGCTCCCAAGCTTCTTTGCCTGCCTGACCTGTTCCATTTGCCCATTACTCTTCTTCAGAGCTTCGCCGGCCCTCTGCAAACCAGGACTGAGAATTACTCTTGCTTGGTCAAGCAGGAAAAGACCTCTAGGCTCCTGACCGCTCCTGTTTTAACCTTCCACTGTCTCATCAATTGGGAACAAAGTAATACTCAGTGCCCTGTGAGGAGGGTCAGCCCCCTTCCTGCTGCGCCCGCCTGCACCTGAGCCACCATCTCCACAGAATTCACCCCTGCCAAGAATAGGTGTCGACATCCAAGTTCATCAAGGAAATAGTATTCAATTCCTTTCTCTCATACCTGATTTTCATGTGTGCAGAAGAGAAGAGGGGTCGTGGGACAGAAAAGCTGGGCCTGAAGGGGACCTCCTAGCTCCGGGGCACTGAGTGGGAAGGCATACTGGGAGACAGCAAGACTACATCACATCTAACAAATACACTCCCCTCCACCAGTTTTCCTAGGTCAGAGAACACGCTTGGGGAAAACCAAAGTGGGGAAAACCAAAGGGCAAAGGCAGGCCATAGGTCTTCTTACCCCCTGGACACCGGGCGGGAAGACGTACTGGATGACGATGGTGCCATACTTCTCATAGCTGGGCAGTAAGAGTGTGGCGTCCTTAGAGACGAGCATCCGCCCATTCTGGGGCTGGTTGCCCACCAGCTGCCCATAGAAGCGGCCACACATGGGACAGGCCTTTTTCACCTGCAGGGCCCGGGTGATGCAGCCCTCGCAGAATGAGTGCCGGCACTTCTCCAATGTCTTGGCGTTCTGGATCTCCCCCAGACAGATGGGGCAGGTGCTCTCCTGTTCTTCAGCCTCCTCCCGAAGGCGGGGAGGAAGGGGAGGGGGGAGGGGAGGGGGAGGGGGAGGGAGGCCCCGAGCCCCTGGGGGCAGAAGTGGGGCTGCTCGCAAGGGGGGAGGGGGGGGCCCTGGACGGTGTAGCTCAGGGTGCTCCCCACCACCCCCCAAAGCCAGGCAGCCCATAAGCTCGCCCTGCCTCTGAGCTTTCTTCAGCTCTTTCTCAGCCTCTTTTAGCAGCCCCTTGAGAGCCTTCCGGGCCAGGTAGAGCCCATTGGGAGGCGCCGGGGGAGGGCCCTGTGGGGAAAGCTGGAGGACATAGATGTCAGAAGTCTCGCCATCTATGAGGATGGACACACGGTGCTCCTCCCGAAGCCGGGCCAGCCGGGCTGGGGTCTCCTTGCTCAGGAAGTCCCACACAGGCTTGGAGACAGTCACTTTGTTCTTGCAGGTGCCTCCACAGGCTGCCATTCTGGACAGGACGAACGACACTGCCCCCAGGGTGAAAGGGACTCAGGGTGGGGGGTCCCCGTTTGACAAAATCAGTGCCTCCTACTTCAGGTTCCTCTCCAACCCTATATTGCCTCTACTATCTCAAAGTCCAACCCCCAACTCCTCCCCCAAGTTCATTTTCTGTCTCCTCTTATCTTTCAAACCCCAGCACCCACTGAAGAGCAAGAAAGTTTCTCTAACTTTATTATCATCATCTGAGCTAAGCACAGTCTTGGTTCTCTTTATACTCCTCCCAAGATCACAGAAACAATCTCACCCTCCTCCCTCTGGGTGAAAACTGGCTTCTTTAAAGGGGAGGGAGACTTTGTGCTCACTTTGATCCTGAAGAGCTTAGAATTGGCATGCAGGCTCTCTCTCACTGTCCCTGCTCCCTACTTGTAGGCTGTGTGACCTGGTGGGTGGAAAGGAAAAGGAAGGAAAGTGAGAAACCCCGTACCCCCTTCCCACATGCGCCAACACAGCAGCGCATGTAACAGAAGACTGGGAACCTGGGTGTCAGTCACTGGGAATGGGATTACTTGGCACATGGAATGGAGGAAACCAATTTAAAGGCGAAGCTGAGTTTCCCTTGGGAGGCAGATACCTGGGAAGCCCATGGACAATGAGAGCAGCAGAAATCCCTCTATTTCCACACTCAGCTGACCAGGACTAGGGGGAAGGGGGAGAGTAGAGAGTAAAGGGTTATGATGACAAATGTTACCACACCCCCCTCACCCCACTCCACCAGCAGCCCAGAAACCACACAAAAACTCCTCTTCCATTTCCTCTCCTCTTCTGCAGAACTGCATCCCCAGCCTCTCCCAGGTTGCTAAAGATGGAACTTCAACATGCTAACTTTCCTCTTTTCTTCCCCAGCTCTGAGGCTCTCAAGAAAGCCTAGGGCACAGATAAGAGAAGTCAGGAAGGGAAAAGCCCACACAGATGGAGGTCTTTCTTGCCACCTCCCTCAGATCACATGGGTAAGAATATTTCCTATGCTCCCCAACTCCTCACCCTGCCCCGTATTCCCAAATAATTCAGTCCCTATCGCTAGGGAGCCTTCTTTGAGAGCTAACCCAGTCCCTTCTGCTGAAGTCTGTTTGGAATGCCAACAAAGTGGCAACAGTCCCTAAATAACAAAGTTCTTACTGTCACCTTTTAAACAACCCCCCCCCCCCCCGGCCCCGCACTGGAGCAGTAAGCCTGTCAGCAACCCAGTCTGCATTTAGGGAGGGGTGGGGCTCAGCCGGGGCTCAGCTGGAGGAGACTTAGGTTTCCCCTGAGTCTTACCATGTTCAGCTACAGAGCTGTCCCTACAACACCTCCAAATGTAGCTCAAATAGAAAGAGGGGCCATTAGTGTGACCTCAATTCCTTGACTGATCCAAAGGGGAGCGGCTCTCTGTCTGTGCCTCCATCATAGTCCCCTCAAGGCCAGATGCACCTCGAGATTCAGAAAGTGAAACTGAAATCCTAGAACCTCAGCTCATTCTGTCTATCCAAGGTGGAACAACCCCCGTCTCCATCAGAGGGAACCCCGGACCTAGATGTCCTTAGCTCCAAGTCCTGCTGGCACAGAAAAGGGAGGCGGGGCCACAGCTTATGTTGGGTCTCTGATTCCTCTGGGGCAACCCAGGCCGGACACAGGGCCAGTCCCTCCCTCCAGACGGAGGCCCGACAGGGGCAGCGGGGGAAGGGCGAGGGTCCCTAGGGGCACCAACTGAGGCAGCCCCACCCCTCCCCCATGACCTCCTGCAAGATCCAGTACCAATTCCCACGTCCCCCTCTCGCCGGAGCCCCCAGAGCCCCACTACTGGGTGGGGGTGCATGTCGGCCCGATCGCGGTTCCCCAGAACCCCCAAATGGAGGCCAAGGCTGGAGGATGATAGGAAGAGGATCGGCCAGGCGTGGAGGGGGCCCCCGGCGCCGCGCGCGGGTAAGGAGGCAGAGGAGGGGGCGCAGGGGGGCAGGTAGGGCGCGCGGGGGTTGCGAGCGGGGTCCGGGGGGCGCGCGGTGGGTGTGGGGGGCGCCGGGCTCACCTACCTCCCGTCAGCGCCGCCATTGCCGGTCACATGACTGAGGCTGTTGCTGGGATGACGGTCTGGGCCTTAGCAACAAGGGGGGGGAGACCCCGAGAAGGTGGGGGGGGAGTTTGCAGAGGGGGTGCAGACTGGAAGGGTAGGAGGGAGGACGGCAGCCGCTTCCCCCGTACAGGTGATAATCACCGTTTCCTTTGACCCCCTTCCATCCACGAGCCCCTGCCCTTCCGCCCCAAAACAAAAATGGAGGCGCCGTCCCAGTCTTTGGAGGGAGGGGGTGGCGTGTGGAACCGAGGGTAGGAGGTTAAATCTCTTAGAGACGCCACCCTTCTTGCTTCCCCCTCCCGGGGGGGGGGCCTCTCCCTTTGCTTTTCCAGCCAGCTGCGTGGCAGCTTCTGCAGGCTGGTGGCAGATGGGTGGGCGAGGAGTGTCGGCTTAGGTAGGTGGGGAAGGGGGCAATTTTTCTGTGATTCCTATGCTATTGCTAGAAGGGACTCTGAGGAATAATTCGGGATGAGAAGAAGAGTCATAGTAAGAAAAGCACTGGTTCTAAAAAATAAACCCCAGGACTAAACTATTTCAATCCCTTCCCTCCTAGCTTGCCTTTTCCTAGATTGTTACCTTCTGTGACCCCCATAACCTGCTTCCGGATGGGTGTTGGTAAGTGCCTCTGACTTTTGTTTCCACAAACAGGGATACTGAGGCTAGTGCAGAACAAGAAGTGAATACATCTTTTTAAAAAATGCCTTGGGGTGGGGGCTGGGGGTGTCAAGTCTGTGGTTCAAATAGAGTTAAAAACTCTCAAAGGAAAAACAGCTGTGCTCTGTTCTGCTTCCCACATCAGAGCAATCTCCGCCCCCAGTCCAATTCACTTCCCTGGGGCCACATCAAGCCAGGTTTTTCCACCAGCCAACAGACCTCCTCGGCCAAACAGTACTGGATCTCCCAGACTGGCAACAACTTCTATTTACCCACCCCTTTCTTCACTCCCTCCCTCTGGGCTGGAGGATTGGTCCCTTTCTTCACTTTCCCAGGACCCTGCTGTACTCTTCCCGCTCTCCAGACAGAGGACATCTTTCCCAGGAAGCCTGGGGAAACACCCAGTTCCTTCTTTTAGCCCCTGCCAGTGTGCTCTGAGAGGCTCACTCACCTTTACAGGAATGAGTGTGTGATCAAGCCCAGAACCCTGGGGGAAGAGGGAGCGCCACATCAGCTGTTCTCCCTGGCCCCGCTATAGCTGAACTCCCACAAAGGCAGAGAGTAAGTTTTCCATTCCCTTGCACACCCCTCACAACCTTTTAAGTTCACAGCTATCGATCTAGAAACCCACATTCTTAGTTAGGGGCCCAACATCTTAAAGATCAGAATTCTTCATCTGGTTTCCACACCCCTAAGCACAGGGTTCCTCAGAGAGGGGGTGGGGGAAGGCATGTCTATGAAGGAATATGGATTCAATAGTTTATTTCCTATATAGTGACAGTAATGGGAGTAAATACACAAGATCTTTTTTATTAATTAATAAAACAAAAAAGATGAAAAACAGAAGCAACAAATGAAGACCATACTGCTCATGATACATCAGCCACATGGTCAGAAAACCAATTTCTAAAGAGCGACAGCTGCTGGTGTCATGGAGTTTTATTGCATTCAACAGGGGAAAGGTAGACGGCTGGAATGAAAAAGATCAGCGGGGCCCTGATGGGGAAGATATTATAGGGGCTCTAATCCTTAACTGTGGATTCCTCTTGTTACTCCCTTTGGAGAAGATGGAGGGGAGAGAGGAATTCTCCTTTATGACTGTATGACTTCTTGTGAGACAAATCAGCCCAGCTATATACAGTGCAAAGAACCCTTGCACCCCCACAGGCCAGTTGTTAGTGCCCATCTTTATGTTAAGAAAAAGCATGGAAGCCATAAAGGGGATCGAGTGGAGAGTAGCAAGAAAGGTTGCCTTAGCCCCAAAGGCATCAGGGGGTGGGGAGGACACTATCTGGGTCATCAGAGTCCTCTACATTCTGAGACTATCACATGTCATTTCAACTCTTTGGAGGGGGCTGGGTGATTGGAGTTCTGGCTCTGACTCCTCTCTTGGGGTAGAGAGTGAAGATGACAAAGAAGTCCATCTGTCCCTTGGAAGACACAGTAGCAGTATGAGACAGAAAAGAACAGAATAACAAATCCAACTGGAGAAAGGATTTGAGAAGGGACTGAGAAGGAAGTATGCTAGGTGCACACCTCCAAGGAGTAGAGGAGGATCCCACACTTGAGTCCTTCATCCTCTTGAAATGACCAGGATTGACCCAGGTGGAGATATTCCCTTCTGCTGGGAATAAAACCTCAGGAATGGCTAGACATGAAGAGAGGAAATTTAGCACTGGGAACGAACCTTTTACCCTGGCCCATCATCCCAGCCTCCAAAACTGCCCACACCCCCCACTGAAGGATTTCAGCCCCAGGAGGGGTGTGAGGTCCTGGTGAAGAGCAGTAACAGTCCAATGTCTTCACCCAGGCTTGAACACTTTGGCCATCTCTGGCCTCTTGTACCCAGAAGTACAGGGGTGGGGGTTGGAAGTAGGGTGAGGGAAGAGACTGGAGAGGAGTCAATTCTTGACAGACACCTTTTCCAATTCCCTGCATAATTTCAAGCGTCCTCGTGGGTCCCACCTCTGTGAGGTGCCAGCCGGCTTGCCACTCCCCACCCCATTAGTGTGTAAGATGGGCCATATCCCATCACATGTGTGCATGCCAGCACCCACAACTGTAGTATCTTGAAAGTCCTCCATCCCAGGGCCTACTGGGAAGGAAGCATGCCACAGTGAGTTCTATAAAGTTATCAGCAAAATTCAGATACTCTTAGTTCATCCCACATAGCAAAGTGCATCCAGAGTAGTTGCTTGAGCCAGGTCCATCTGTCCAGTCAGGTCCTGAAGTTGGCAAGTAACCCCCTTCCCCCATCTCGTCCTATGTTCTAGAAACAATAGGACATTTACAAAGATCAAGGCACTTGGGAGTGAGTCAATAGTAACACTCTAATGAAGCAAGCAGAATGGTTGGAGGGGAGGGAGAAAAGGAAGAAAACTGGACAGGGGGAGATAGGATAATGTATTTCTGAGGGTCAGGAAGAGTCTACTCAACAAGATGGAGTTATCTGGATGGAAGGAGCCTGCAGCTGGAATTTAACAAAGGAGGAAAAGAAGAAGTAGTGATCAGCATATCCACAATTCCCACAAGCCTCTCAGAACTCTGCCACCTTGAAGATAAAGCAGCAGTCAGCATGGAGTCAGGCAGTCTCTTAGGCAAAGATGTTGGTAATGAAATCCAGGAATCGCTTAGCATACTGCTCAGGATGGACAGTAGAGATCTCTGCCCCAGCCTGTGAGAGGAGGTATGGAACACGGTGTCAGGCCACCCCGCCCCCCCACCCTTCCCCACTCTCCACCCTCCATTCCACTCCACACCACTTCCATCCCCAACCCTCTGTCCTTTCGCCACCCCATTGCTCTGGCACAAACGGCCCCCTGTTCCCAAAGAGTCAAAAGACAGGAAAGGAAAGGCTTTGCGGAACCCTTACCCCATGTTTGACAGTTTTGGCTGCATGAGCTGCTTTCTTCTTGGCATCATACTGTGTCAGGATGTCGATGAGACCCATGAAATACACTTCCTTCTGGGGGGCCCCTGAGGAAAGAAACCAGCAATGAAGAGCAAGTATAGTCCCAATTCCCTCTCCCCAAGAACCAGTCAGATCTGTTTTGAAAAGCTAACCAGCCTCTCTCCCACCACCCTGGTCTCAGTCCCCCAAGGCCAACCCCTCCTCCGCCCCCCCGCCACCAACACCCTTAATATTTCCAGGATCTCTCTCACCCTCAGCACTCCGGATGGCGTAGACGTCAATGAAGGACTCAAACTCTCCAGGGCCCAGGGGCCGATGAGAATGGATGTAGCCGCCGATACCCTCAGGGGAGGTGCCATAGGAGCCCACCAGAGCGGGTGGTCCTGTCAGGCCACAGTCCCCATCCCCCTCTGACTCCTCCTCCCGCACAGGCCCCTCCTCCTCTGGGTCAGAGCCCCGAATGATGTCGTGGATGCCCAGCAGAAGGCTGTAGTCCATGATCTTCAGCTGCACTAGGAACTGAGACCCCACTGACAAATCAGATTACCTCAGATCTCCTTCCCCATTCCCAGGTACCACCCCTATACCTCCACTCCTGAGTTTCTGGGGCCCTCCTGGGGAAAGGAAGGATGAAAATTGAGGGTTGGAAGGATACCACTGCCCTTTAGTACATCAATGTCCTGGTATCTGAGGTCATCCTTTTGGCTGATTCTAGCCACCCCCTCCATGCATCACCTCTGAGGGTTTTTCATGTCCCATACCCAACTCCCCTACATGCAGAGAACCCAAAGAATGAAGGGAAGGGGAGCAGTTCCCTCAGACTGGGAATGGGGAGCAACAGGAAACAGCCATTTCCCAAGCACACCGATCGTCACCTCCACATCTCTCTTTAGCTTCTCTAGGAATACTTTCTTCTCCTCTTCACCAATATAAACCTTCTGGTTCTTGTTGAGAAAATCCATATCCTTAAGGGTGGGTAGTTCTTTAACCTGAAAGTAATGGGACATCTTAGGAATATATCCCTTCCCCCAAGGTCTCAGAGAACAATGCTCTATCTGGGGCCCTATGTCTAACTCAGTGGCTTCGAGGGGAGAGAGATCCTACAGCCCCTCTCCGACTCCACACTGCCACGCCGCCCCAGAGGCCGTTCTCAGCTCTAGCGGCTTCTCCAAACTCAGTCACTGCAGTGGTACCCCAAATCACATCCCACTACCTTTGCTGACAGTTTTCAGTCAAGACCCCTCAAGCTGACTTTTCTTTCTTCTTCTTAAGCAAAAAGAGCTGCTTGACTACAAGAACCCAGAGTGGGAGGTAGAGGGTAAGCATTTCACTCTTAAAGTTCGTCATCTCCATCCTTCACCAAACCTTCCACAGGGGATAGCCCATGCCAGTGAGACAGCAGCTGCTCCCGCTGCCCATTCCAAACATTTAATCCCTGGGTCGGCACCAGCTCACACCTCTCTTCCTTTTGGTGGTTTAAGATAAGAATAAATAGCTGATGACCCCTACCTCTATCCTAAGGAGATCCCTTTGTCTGCCCTCCCTCATCCCTCACCCTATCACCTAATATCAGTATCACCTTTTCCTTATCGCTGGCTTCTCGGGATACTAGGGAGCCCTGTGGAGAGACCCAAAGACCAAGTCAGCAGAAGTGACTAAAAGAATAGTTAGGATCCAGCTCCTAAGATGAGTACTCAAACCCATAGTCTTCTTTCCTTTGAAATGAACCCTCTAAGTGCCCTCCCAGGCCCTTCCCCACTCTCAGGCCATCAGGAACCTCTCCCTCAGCCCTAACCATCCTTTCCTTACCTTGAGGTCATACTTCCTGTGCACAGGAAGACGGTGGCTAAACATGTTACGCATCACAAGCATGTAGCTGTCTTCATTGTCCACGCTGACCCGGTACATCCCCAGGAACTGGGGCAGCAGTGTGTTCCCATGGCACTTCACAATGTACTGAGGTAGGAGGGAGGAAGGAATGGGGAGAAGCTGAGAAGTAAATGCATGAACAGCCCAGGGATGGGAATGCAAATACCACCATTCCAGGGTAGGGCAGACAACTTCAAGTAGAGAGGTTACCCGGTCAAAAGTGGGGGGGAGGGGGGCACCTGGGTGGCTCAGTCGGTTGAGCATCTGACTCTTGGTTTCCACTCAGGTCATGATCTCAGGGTTGTGAGATCTCAGGGTTCCAAGCCCTGCAGAGCATGGAATCCTCTTGGGATTCTTTCCCTCTTCCTCTCCCTCCCTCTCTGCCCCCCTACAAACACATCTCTGCATTCTTGTTCTCTCTCTCTCGCACATAAATAAAAAAAAAAAAAAAATCTTTAAAAAAAAAAAGTGGTGGAGACTTGTTAAAGAGGCCTGTGATTATCCATGCAGTTTCTGAACCCTCATCTCTGATTTATTTCATTTGTATAATGTCTCTTAATTTTAAAGATTTTATTTATTTGAGGGAGCACAAGCATAAGGGGGGCACAAAGGGAGAGAGACAAGCAGACTCCTTGCTGAGCTTGGAGCCCGGCTCAATCCCAAGACCCTGAGATCACAACCTGAGCTGAAATCAAGAGTCGGCCACTCAACTGACTGAGCCCCCCAGGTGCCCCTAGACCCTCTTTAAGTACGAGTGGTCACAGAACCAGGATTAGAAATTACATCTGCTTACCAATGAAATGATTTTACCTAGACTAATGTTTCCTGGTGGGCTAGATTCCTGTAGTAAAAATGCTTACATGATGGCTTATAATTTGGATTCTTAAAAAACGATTCCTCTTTTGGGGCACCTGGGTGGCTCAGTCGTTAAGCATCTGCCTTCGGCTCACGTCATGATCCCAGGGTCCTGGGATCGAGCCCCGCATCGGGCTCCCTGCTCCATGGGAAGCCTGCTTCTCCCTCTCCCACTCCCCCTGCTTGTGTTCCCTCTCTCGCTGTGTCCCTCTCTGTCAAATAAATAAATAAAATCTAAAAATAAATAAACAAAATCTTAAAAAACAAAACAAAAAACGATTCCTCTTCCAATGCAACTGTCTCTCTCAGTATTGCCGCCTATTTCTCTTCAGAGCCAGCCTTCTCAGAAAAGTGGTCAGTCCACTTCCTCTCATTCCTACCTCAAACCCAGTGAAATCAGATTCATACTCTTACTTTTCCTCTGAAATCTACTTCTCCCTTCCTCAAATCCCTCAGTTGCCCAATCCAATAGGTATTCATTGTAGTTACTGTTGTATTTCAACTAGGGGGCACTTGATACTCCCGACCAGTCTCTCCCTAGAACTCTCTGCACCCTGAGCCACACTATTCCACTCTTCCGATTCTTCTCCCCTGTCTTCTCAAATCCCACACAGAACAAAGGAGGGCATCAGCAACTCAGTCTCCTTTATGGGCTCTCCCCTCTCCTTGCTTCTTTTCATTTCTTCTCCACACACTTCCCATCAATAATCTAGTCTATATTTCTGGTTTTAATCACCATCTATTCATCTGTGACTCTCAAATCTACACTTCTACTTGCCTGAACTCCATTCCCCAACCACTTACGGGATATCTATATCTGGAGGAACGGTAGAAACCCCATATTCAACATGTGTAAATCAAAACTGCCTTCTTGGGGCGCCTGGGTGGCTCAGTCGTTAAGTGTCTGCCTCTGGCTCAGGTCATGATCCCTGGGTCCTGGGATCGAGCCCCGCATCGGGCTCCCTGTTCAGCAGGGAGTCTGCTTCTCCCTCTTCCACTCCCCCTGCTTGTGTTCCCTCTCTCACTGTGTCTCTCTCTGTCAAATAAACATAAATAAAATCTTAAAAAAAAAGAACTGCCTTCTCCCCAAAACCAGTTTCTTTTTCTGCTTCCCAAATGTTCGTGAATGGACACCCAGTTACCCCAAAGCAGGAATCTGGAGGCGCCCTGCCCTCAATTCGCACAAGTCTCCCACAGGTCTTCCTCTGCATCTTGGCCACCAGGGCTCCTCCAGCCTTGGTCCTTGCTCACCGAGACTGTTCTCATTCCCTCCAACCTGCTCACTCCTCACTCCCAGTAGTCCAGCCCAATCTCGAAAATGCAGTCACGGGGCTATTTCTAAATAACATACCTCTCTCACAGCTCTGTGCCTTTCTAAGTTTTCCTTTGCCTAGAATGCTTTCTTCCACCTTGTCTAAGGAGTCCATACTAGTCTTTCAAGCATCAACTCCTACGATACTCTCTCTAACTCTCCTTGAAGCTCCCAGTGCACCTCTCTCTTTCCCCGGGTAAGTCAGGGTGCTCCTCCTCTGCACCCCCACAGCACTCCATCCATGCCTCTGCTACTGCACACCCTCCACTATGTGCTAATGCTGCTCTCCTACCCACTGCCATTAGACCAAGAGATCCTCCAGAGCCTCTTCCTCACCCACCTCTTTCTCTGCTGCCTAATGGAGGGCCCACTGATAATGGACATTCAGTGTTTGTTGAATAAACCAATCACTTTTTGAGTCTTTCATTTATTCCTTGCTTGTTGACCTTGGAGAGAGATTTTTTTCAGTAGGAAGATATTCAGGCCATATTTTTCTCACCAAAATATTCCAGAAACTCCACATTCCAAGTTAATCTGATCAGACAGAATAGCCTCCCTAATCCCACTTAGGACTGGATATGATCATGGCTTCTCCCCTCCAGTTTATCCCCAACTATGCACTTACCCTGATTTTCTCCTCAAAACTGCATTTGTTCCTGACAGTGTATTTGGTGTTAACACTTCCCCTAATTCTGGCTCAGTCTATAGTTCATACTTTGCTCTTCAAGTGGCCTTTATGTATCAATCCACAGCAGTTCCAGATTGTAAATACCAAAATAGAAGGACCATGTCTAACTTCTCCTATTTGGTCAGACACAAAGAGGGACGCAGAGGCTTTTTCTGAAATTCCTAGTTTTCAAAAACATGAGGTCAAGTGCTTCTTGGGCAGCAAAATGGGTTGTAGGGAGGAGAAGAGATAGGAAGTTTCCATGTACTCTAGCAGCTAAGCTATGAATAGAGAGGAGAGGGCAAGAGTGAAGCTGGAGAGCCGCCTGACCTGGTGGTAGTTGGAGAGGTTGCTATGCATATCAGCAATGTCCTCACTGGATACTTCTTTGATGACCAGAGTTCGATCGTAGGAGATAAGGAAGCGACCGTCGCTGCCTTCACTTTCACTGGGGGGACTTCGGGTGAGGGATACCTAGGAACACAGGCGAGAGGCTCTTTTCCTCTTTGTGTGGAGATGCAAGTCGTAGGACAACAGTCAAGTGACTGTGTCTGAAAGTGGATAAAACCCTTGCATGAAAGGTTGAGCAGGGATTCTTCATCTGGACTGAATGAAAGTGAAAGCAAAAATTTTAATGTAGCTACATGTTTCCCCAAGGACAGGGTTAATGGCTTTCATCAGATTTTTGAAGATGCCCGTGACCACAAACAGATAAAGAATCAGACTTGCCAAAGCTCCCATTTCTCCCAACATGACTGGCCCAAGGATTCCCTGGTTGTCAGGGAGAAAGGACCCCTCTCACCCAAAAAGGACTCTCACCAGGTAATCTTGGTCATCAATGCCAAATCGATCACGGAGGTTCCTGAAGACCTGGGGGCAATACTCCTTGAACTTGAAATGACTAGGCAGATTTTCCCTGAAATAGGGGTTTTCAAGGTAAGAAAACAAAGTAACAGTATTACCCTACATTTATATAGAGCTTGACCGTTTATTGAGCACCTTCACACATTTACCTTATTTAATTCTCATAAAACTCTTGTAAAGTCCTTTAAATGTATATTATTCCCATTTTATAGAAGGGGAGACTGGGGCTCAGGGTGGTTGAGTGACCTGCTTCAAACATAGAGCTGGTAAGTAGCTTAAGTAGAACCAGGATTTAATGCCTGTTTAAACAGCATCATTTCCAAAATCTCACACAAGTTCGAGACATACTAAAATCAGCAATAGGTGCCACTGTTTGGAATGGCATCTTCTGATACCAGAAGCACCTAGGAAACTCAGATATTTCTTTCAGAGAGTCTCTATCAGAAGCTGATGGTAAGGGCATCTAAATGTATTTACTCTGTGGTATTGCCAGGCTAGATGAGAAACAAACTATTACAAATATGTAAGGGTGTAGAGAACACTGGAAGTTATTTTAATGGTTTCTTTGCACGATACTGAATTTCTGCCCTGGGAAGGGGGTTAGAACACAGAGCTTGTAAATTGCCTTCCAAATCTAAAACCTTCAATTCACTGAATCTTAACTCTTAAAATTATGTATTATTTTCTTCTAGGAAGGTTCACAGGAGAAGAGCAGGGATCTCCACATACCTGTGGAAAAGGTGATTGTTGACCTTGATCTTGGAGTTAGCCTTAAAGTCGTCTGGCAGCAGCATCACGGGGGGAGGCACCTGGCTGAGCTCATTGATCTGATAAGCCGAAACAAGAACAGGCAGCCAGTGAGGAGTGGTGTGGAAAGCTACTTCTACACTATGTCTGGGCAAGAGTCAGAAAAGGGCAACTCAAACCTCATCCCTTTAAGAACACTAGTTACGCATCTACTTGCCAGAGGTGAGAGAAAGCATCCAACTTCTTTTGCTCCCAACAAGGCCTGCAGTAAGCAGCCCCCACACACAGCCCCTCACACTCCACCCCCGGGGAACTGCATGCTTGCACCAGTCATTTTATATTAGGCAAACTCTGTGAGCAGCTCAGGGTTATTTTTAAAGCTGCGAGAAGTTCTAAAGAAAAAAAATACCCTCAGCAGACTCAAAACACTCAAGACAAACACTTCTATGCTCCATTAAAAACAAAACAAAAGGCATTTTTTTTTTCTGAAGTAGACAAGAGAGTTCATGGGACTCTGAGGAGTCCACAGCAACAAGAATGAGATGTCCACATCCTGCAGGAGGCATCTCCTTACAAACAGGACCAGGCCTTCCAGACCAACCTGACCCAGGTCTCTCTAGTAGGTCCCCACTGCCTGGGTGTAAAGTAAAAGAAGAGCAGCTGATTTCAGAGGGAATGCATGCAGGCAGGCAGAGGATATGAGCTCATTAGCTGTCTGTTCCTAAAGTCAAGCCAACCCACTACGCAAAGAATGCAAGCAACACCAGCTCTCCTTGGCCCCCAGAATCAGCCATCTGCTAATTCTGGGTGGAAAGGGAGTTCCTGTACGAAGAAATCCCAGGAGATGTGTTTTCTCCTCAGTGTTGTCACAGTACCACTCACCCACCTTTAATAGAGCACTTAACACATGACTCTAATGCGTAGTTTATATAAGTTCCCCACCTACACTGTGAGCTCTTTGAGGGCAAGGACCAGTTGTAGCTGTCTGTGTCTCTCAGGTGCCTAGCTAGCATGTTTGGCACAAGGGGTCCTGAGGTGTTTCTTAACTGAATAAATGGGTGTCTTGCCTGCCTTTACTTGATCATTCAACAGAGGTTATGAAGTGCAGTCTAACCTAAATCCCAGATTGCAGTGAAACTGTGCTCCTGTCATTCTCAGTAGAAAAGGAGGACAGAACATATTCTTCCAGGAAAAAAAAAAAAGCCACTTGAGATTCCCAGCCTAAAATTCAGCTATAGTTCTTCATGCCCCCTCCTCGCCACCTGCTGTCAAGCAGGCTGAATCATCACTAAGACATATGTTCAAGGAATTCTCCATTCTAGACACTTGAAGTAAATGTGGGTTGGCTGCACGGTGGGGTGTTGGAGCTAAAGTATATATACCTAGGGAAACTGAGGCAGCTCTCATGTGTAACTCCCTCAACCCTTACCAAAGAAAAATCCTCCCTGTTCAGCTTCCCAAAGGGATGGATGGGTCACCTGGAAAGTACACATGAGAGGCAGCTCTACCTCCATCAGCTTTGCCCATACCAAGTGCCTTAGCATAGATACTCTGGGAGCGGTCCACAGAACCACAAATACAAATACAGACACCCAACAACATTCTAAACCACAAATTAAGAAGGGGACGAAAAATTGTATTCTTCCTCACCCTCGTCCATCTCTATAACCCTGCCGTGACTATAACGACTTGAGGAAATTGATTTATAAAGTACTGCCTGTTAAGTCCAAGGTCACTACATCCCTCCCACTCCAAATCTGAGGGAGGAGGAGCAATAGCTGTGCTTCCTTCACCTGAGTGAAGGAAAATAGATGCACTGGCCTCTGTGGCCTCCTCCTGATTCCCAGGCCATACCCCTCTACCTCTTTCTAAAGTTAACCATCATAGTGTCCCCAGGACCAGAGCTGCGGCGCCATCTCTTTGGTCAAAGATGAGCCCCCCACTTACACCAAACACCATCACTCCAGCCAGCAATGGGGATGCAGTTAAGACCAAAGGCATATACCATACATAAGGCTTAATGGGGCTCAAGGTGGGTAGCTTCTCTGAAATGCTGTACCTCTGGAAGGGAAAGGAAGAGACAAGCAGGATTAGAAAGTCCAGGAAAGCCTGGAGCTTTCCCCCAAAGCCAAGGTTCCAAAATCAAGGACAGCAGCTAGAAAGGAAAGTGAACTATCCCCCTCATTCAGCTGCCTTCCCTGCTCCCCTTCCACACACAGACTCTCACCGGACACCTCACCACCACCGGACCCTGAACAGCCACTCCCCCTAATGTCCTTCCAGCTGAAGCCGGGTCCCGGCCGGTGTCCGTGGCCTGCGGCTGAGGCTGGACCTGGCAGGAAGGAGGCAGCGAGCTGGATTTCAGGTGGAGAAGGAGGAACTAGAGTGGTGGAATAGGGGGCGGAGGGGGAAACAAAGTCTACATTTCAAGAAAGAAACAACAACGTCTAGAGCGAGAAGATACGCCGGGGAACACCTGAGGTTTGGTGGGCAGGGACCAGGACAGCCGCGGGGGGAAAGTGGCCGCGCGAGGAGCTCCGGAGGCGGAAGCCTGGAAACAGGGACGCCCGGAGGAGCCAGAGCAGCGGGGTTCGGACAGGGCTTCTGGGGGGGCTAGTGCCGGGTCTCACCGAGTGGGCTACGCCCCACAGGAACACGCCCACCAGCGGGTCGGCCGCCCGGAACACCTTCACCTTCTGCTGCACGAAATGCTTCTTCTTGGTTTTGGAGGCGAAGCCGAAACCCGGGCCCGGGGTCGCTGTCGCCGCCGGTACGGTGGCCGGCGGGACAGAGGAGGACGCCATAGTCTCCTTCTCCCGTGCACCCGACGGAGTGGAAGCCGGAGCCGGCGGCAAAGCAGGCTCCCGACCCCGGAAGCGGTGCTCACCTGGGCCGCCGTCACGTGACCGGAGGCTGGCCCGCAGGCGCGCAGCATGGCGGTGCGGGGCTGGCTCCGCCCCCTGGCGCCCGCCCGCCCCAACGCCCGCGCGGTGGGTGGGCTCACCTGGCGCAGGGGCGGGCGCACGGAAGCCGCGTTCCCTGCGGGCTGCGGTCGGTCCGCTGGGCCCGGACCTGCCACCGAGGCGATGGGGAAGCGGCCTGGGCTGGCCTCATTCACAACCAGGTCGGCGGCTCTTTTGCTGCAAAGTCGTTGCCTTCCGGTTTTGCCCAGTTTCTGGGAGTAACCTCTCGCCTGAGGCTCACCCAAAAGTATTTCTTTACGAAGTAGGAGATCCCTTAAGTGGTTTCGATGGATTAAATGCGCTTTTACGAGAACCACTCAGGCATCATTCTGGAGGGTGACTGGAGTATTCCAAAAGTGTAGGCACGAGGTGGTGAGCTAAAACAGTGGCTGTTGGGATGGAAAGAAGGGAATGACATCTAAAGGTAGAGTTTGATGTCAGTTTGGAAAATTCTTAGTGGATGTGGGACTTGAGGGAAAGGGAGACCTTGAGATTGAATCCCAGGCTTCTGGCTAAGGTGAGGAGACATGGTGGTGGTGACATGAAAAGAGGCAGTTTGGTGAAAAGTTCAGTTTGGAATGTGTTTGAGGTACCTGAGGGCAATTGAACATATGAGCCCAGAGCTCAGAATAGTCTGGGCTGGGGATACAGATTGAGTAATTGTTATGGAATCTGGGGAAGTGGATGGCACCTTCCAGAGAAAGCAAGAACCCTGGTATAGACCAGCATTTAAGAGGCTAGTGGGAGAGGACTGAGAGGTAAAAGGAACCAGGAGAGCAGGGTCACAGACCAGGGAGTAGAGTTTCCAGAAGGAAGGAGTGGAGAGCAGTGTCACATGTCATGGAGAGGTGAAGCAAGACAAGGATGGAGAAGTGCCCATTGTATTTGGCAACCAGTGACCTTCAGAAAACAGTTTCAGCAGAACAAGAGCCAGTTCAAGGTGGGCTGAGGAATGAATGGGAGATGAAGAAGTGGGGAGGGGAAGCTTGGGACTTTGTCAGGAAATCTGGCTGTAAGAAAACAAGATGGGGAATCACTTATAGAGAAGCACAGTAAAAACACACTTTTCAGGGCACACTTGGCTGGCTCAGTCAGTAGAGCATGTGACTCTTGATCTCAGGATTGTGAGTTTGGGCCCCAAGTTGAGCACAGAGATTACTTAAAAAAGTAAAAGAGGGCACCTGGGTGGCACAGTCGTTAAGCGTCTGCCTTCGGCTCAGGTCATGATCCCAGGGTCCTGGGATCGAGTCCCACATCGGGCTCCCTGCTCCGCGGGAAGCCTGCTTCTCCCTCTCCCACTCCCCCTGCTTGTGTTCCTGCTCTCACTGTGTCTCTCTGTCAAATAAATAAGTAAAATCTTTAAAAAAAAAAAAAAAAGGGAAAGAAACACACTTTTCAGGGAGACCTTACAAGAAGGGGGGAAATCACAAAGAAGATATAAACTGCCCGTCTGCCACACTTTTAGGTGTTGTATATATTGGGTCTATGTAAGTATCTCAAGAATGAAGGATCTAGAAGGGACTTGCTTTAGTCCAGAGAAGAGAGATTTATCACTTGTTAGGAAGAAAGGAAAGGATCGGTGCAGATATAGGTAAGTGTGTAGGGATGGAGGGCAGATGAAGAATTTCATGATCAATTGCCTTAATTGTTTGCCTAACAGAGGAGGTGAGAAGGGAACAGAGTGTTGACCAGCTGCTCTGGGAGGCAAGCAAGGAAACCCAGTAGGGATACACAGAAGCCATGAACAGCACCAAAGGGCCAGTTACCTTCCTAGGCTTTCAGTTGCCCCAGTGTTTCAGTCGTGCATTTTTCTCCATTCATCTCAGAAGCTCCAAGGTATGAGCAGAGAGGACACATAGGGGTATGCTCTAAAATGGGGATAGTGGGTGCCTGGCTGGCTCAGTTGATAGAGCATGTGCCTCTTGATCTCCAGGTCATGAGTTCATGCCCCACATTGGGCATCCAGCTTGCTTACTTACAAAATAAAATAAAATAGGGGTCAGAAGGGTGAATGTGGTAGATGATCTTGGGACAAGAGAACCGAGCTGTTGGCAAAGGAGGAATGGAGTCCCACTGGAAAGGGACAGAATTGACACTGGGACTGAGGTGATGGTCTGGGGGGAAAAATGAAGAGAATGGGATACTATTTTTTGTTAAAAACTACAAACAACCTAGATTGATGTCCTCCAGTAGTGGAATGGTTGAAAAATTATAGGATAAGTTTATGAAAAATTGTATCTATATTTTCATGAGGTACTTTTTTTTTTTTTTTAAAGATTCATTTATTTTTAGAGAGAGAGTGAGAGAGTATGCAAGCGGGGGACAGGGGCGCAGAGGGAGAGACTCTCTCAAGTAGTCCCACAACCCTGAGATCATGACCTGAGCCAAAATCAAGAATTGGATGCTTAATCAACTGAGCCTCCCAGGCACCCCTATTTTAATGAGGTAAGTCTATGTATAATGACATGAAAAGGTCTCCAGAATATATTGGCAAGTGGGGAAAACAAACGTGTGTAAATATATAGAAAAACATCTGGAAGGATATAGACCACGCTGTCAAATGCCATTACATGCAAGTAAGGGAGTGGGACCGGGAAGGGATAAAGATTTACAACACCGCGGAGTCATCATTGAATTTATTTTATTTTCAAGGTATCTATGTACATCAAGTAAATACACACTGGGGTTTGTGCGGCTTGGTTTGTCTTCCACACTGGCATGCAACATTTTGGCAGATGTGAGTGGGCAGGCCAGGTGCCCCTTGTGGGGACCCTGGCTCTCTGGAAAGGGATGCTGGGGTGGGGGGGATGTAGAGTGAAGCTCCTGGTGAAGGCCTTCCGTGCGTGTTCTTATTTATGTAAGTGAATTAGATTCCCCTTACATCTCTCTCCTCATCTGCCCAACACCTTCACGTTTTCTTATGCGTTTTAAAAGAATTATTTGGTGGCAAGATTACATAAAGCCCACTGGCTTCTCAGCTGCCCTGTTGGCAAATTTTAGCTCAAGTCCACAGGTGCACAGGCATCTTCCTTCTTCTCCCATTGGGCCTTTCCCTCTCTGCTCTGAGTTAGGGGCTTGGGGCAGGGGAGCGAAGCTGAACCCCTTTCCCTCAGAGCAGTGGTTTGCAAACTACTCTACAGAACCCTCAGGTTCTGAACTCTTAAGACCATTCAAGAGCTCCTCCACTAACGAAGCATTTTTCCACCAAATCAAGAAAATGTAAACTGCCCAGGTTTGTGTCACTTTGGGTTATTTTTTATATCAGCGTTCTATATAAGATTTATTTTTAAAAATGTTTGAATATCACTGCCTTGGATTTACTCTACACCCTTCTGGTAGATTTTTCCCTGCATTTTCCCATAATTGCTAAGAGGGGCCCAACAGGTAAAGGAACAAGGAACTTTTTCCCTTGAAGGAGTCCCAGGCCAATACGGCCTGTATTTATAAGCTGGCACTCACCCCAAGCTTTCTTTCTTGCCTTAGAAGCTAGGTGATGGTTGCCCTGCTGCTTCCATCAGCAGGGGGATCCTCTTCTTCCATCCTACGCTAAGACTGGGTATCTGGACACCAGACTTTCTTGATTTGGACTTTGTTCATTTTGACCTCCACTCTCCACCCCTGTAGTTACCTAGAAAACCACCTTAGCACCATGTGGAAGGAAAGGATGTCTGAAACCAAAATAACAGTCCTATCAATTACATGGGGCAGTGTTGGGGGGAGAGAACTCCCCCCTCACCTCCCCCCGCTGGTCTGGAAAATCTGCTCTGCCCATTTCTTCAAAGTGCACTTAAAACCAGATGGGGACATTATCAAAGGAATTCTGTCAAACAAAAAAATTTTTTTATGCATCATGGGGAAAAGTCAGGCTCTAGCCTGAAAGGAAGGCATCTTGAGATAGGTATTTTGCCAATGAACTGGAAGGTCCCAAACCAAAAGGTGGACATGAGAGGAACATGCAGCCCAATATGGGACAGAGAAAAGAATCCAGCTCATCACTGTGGCAAAAAATACTTGGAATTTCCCAGCCTGTTCACCCCCAACCCAACAGAAGCAATTTGCTGACTACACGTGCCTGTAACTATCACCGGACATATGAGCAGCCATTGACAGACTGTTGGGAAGGGTCTGCCTCCTCAAGTTTTCCAAATACTTTAAAGCAACTCTAGGTTCTGTTCATGAGTTCTGGGGCAGAGAATATCAAAAGGAGTTTTGAGGAGAAAGGGAAATGGTCCCTTGAACAATCCATGTCCTCGGTCATCGGGGCAGGGGGTCAGGGGACAGGAAGAGGAAGGCAAAAGGTACAAAAAGGGAGGGTGGTTCAGTTGAGGGGTATATGAAGAAAATTCTACGTGTCAGGTAGCAGTCCTTCCAGGTTACCCTCCCCTGTGCTGTCGGTGAAAAAGGAGGGGGAGAGTCTATTTCTGTGTCTTCTTCTGACGCTAAGACATTCTTCCACTTAAGGCTTTGTGTGTGTGTGTGTGTGTGTGTGTGTGCGTGCGTGTGCGCGTGCGTGTGAAGGATCACGGCCCTCTAGCTCCCATTTTTCCTTTTATCATCTCCATGACTAATACCACTCAGTGTGAGAGACGCGTGTTTGAAAGAAGAAACACTCACCCTCCTCCCTATTGCCCCAAATGAGGAGAGTGAGTATACTATGCTTAGAAATTGCTAAATACATCATTAGATACTTAGAGAGTAAGACAGAGAGAAGAGAGACATAGCAGCAGCTTTTGATATACAGATACAGAGTACAAAGAGGTACAGAGTAAGAGAAGACATCAAACAGTACAGTTGAACAACTAGGGTTGGGAGGGAGTTGTTAGTATCAGAGACCACAGGTTTGCAGCATGCTGAGAGGAGAGGCCTCAGGCCCTCTTAGAAACTGGGGAAGAAAGAGAAAGAGGTTGTGAGGAACCACCTTGCAGCCCAGCCACTCAACAGGAACCGGGTGGCATTTGTACAAACTTCGACTTACAGTCTTGTTCCTTTCATGCCACCAACTGGACACCACTCCCCCAGGGCCTGCTCCTCTCCCCCAGGCCTTCCTCTTTCTTCCCCATCCCTCCTCCCTTGCTCCTCACACCCTTCTGCCTCTGTGTGCCTGGCCTACTACCCTGGAAAGCCCCCAGAGAGGGCTTGGCATGGACGCAGCCCAGCGAGCGACTGGCCCTATTCCTCTCATTTCTAGTTCTCCAGAGATCCAAAGGGGACAATAAGACAGGCTCCTAGTGTCTAGTTCTGGGCCCTAAAGCCAGTGAGAAGCCTGGTGACACACAAGCACCGGGAAGGTGCCTGAGCTGCTGGAAGAGAGGACCTGGGGACAGAGGTGGAACGAGGGGGCTACGAGGGGGAACACAGCTATTTACTACCTCCACGGAGCAAGGTGGCAGGCGAGTGCTGACGCTGCAGTGTGGAGACAACAAGTCAGACCTCCTGGGGCACTTCCTAAAGCTTACCGGTGACCTTATGCAGATAGGAGATGTATGGGACACAGGTACAGGAGTGAAGCCAACACCTCCTTTAGTGGAGGTATCTTGGTTCAGAAAATACCTATCCATCCAAAATTCTTTTAGGGTGGAGGCAGACAGGGGGTTGAGATGATCTCTCAAGGTCTCCTAACATGCACTACATTCCGGGGGGGGGGGGATGGGGCGTGGCTCTAGACGGACATCACCCCTGCTCACTCTTTCTGACATGTGGCAGTGACCCCTAGTGGCCGAAAAGCAGTACTGTGGTTACTGCTTTGGCCAAAAGGAAAGCATCAGCGGGGGAGGGGAGGTCAGTGTCCGGAGCCTGGGGGCCAGGAGGGACGTATCCCCCAGGCAGGGAAAGCAGGAGCTGAGGGACGACTATATAGTAAAAGTTTTGAGATGATGAAAAAAAGCAGGAGAAACAAAGAGGCTGAGGGCCAGACAGGAGGCAACCGGAGGCTGGTCAGAGGAAGCAGCCTGAAGCTACCTGAAAGTGCAGGTATGCGGCAGTCCATGAGGGAGATTAGCTGGCTGCCGTCTCTTGGTGGAGAGGGAAAAGCTTGGTCTGGTCCTCAGCCTCATAGCCGCAAGGCAGGTCACTCCTAGAAGAACAGACCCAGCATTGTCAGCTCCGAATAGAGGAAAACATCCCTGTCACTTTGCTCCCATAGCATCCCTGTGAGACAACAAAAGGTAGGGACTATTCAGGATTTACAGGAATACAAGGAAAACCAAGGCTGGAGAGATGGAGCTGACTCGCCCAAGGTCACAGAGTTCCCAAAGGAAGGAGAGAAAGCCAGGTCATCAGATGGCCATGGCACTCCCCCAGCCCCCAGGACGGAGTGGGGAGAAGCCACAGGTGGGATTGGAGGAGAGGATGTGCTCTCTGTACCAAGAGGCAGGGGATGAGTGGCTCCTCGGGACAACCCGGTGATGACGAGAATGGTCCTCATTTCCTCCTCCTTTCCCTGCAGGCTCCAGAGAACCTCTAAGTAGGGCACGAGGGAAATTTAACCATTTCTTCTGGTCCCACCCAGAGAACTCAAGAGCAATGGGGACGGGTGTACCTGTTGTCATTGATATCTGTGGCATTTCCTGAAGACATCATCATTGAGAATACAGGATTAGGAGAAGAAAAAAGGAGACGGGGTGTTAGAAGCCATCTCCCCAAACCCTCTCTCATCCTGACCCCTTAGAGAAAAAGGTAAGACTTTGGAGTATAGCTGCCACCTGGGTCTGTGGCTCTGTATTTTCAACTACCCCAAGCTGCCTGATCATTTTATTGGAGAAAGTTCTCCCTGACCCCTTCTGAAGGAAAGGAGAAAGGGGAAGGCAGGGGAGGGTGGGGACAGGCACGGCAATAGGAGGAATCCACTTCTAAGACTCCAAGACCCTGAAGGGATGGGCAGCGTTCAAGCTGTAGGCACAGGGTCACTTACTTTTCTTCTACTTTTCAACTTGCCCTGGGGATCCCAAAGGCTGGTCACCCATCTTTTTCACTCACCATTGTCCATGTTGGCCTTCTGGTAGGAAGCCAGGGGCCCGCCGGAAGATGTGGCCCCGCTGCTGGTACAGGAGTTTGCAAAGCTGGGTGGAGCAGAGGAGAGAGATGCCGCCTCTGGCACCCGCCCTCCAATATCTGAGGACCTGTAATCCCCGTGGGGATGGAGCCGTACACCCCTCCTGTCCCCAGAGAACAGAGGACAACAAACAGCGCCACAGGCTGAGAGGGCAATGCCCACCTTCTAACCGTAGGTGTGAAGTTGAGAAGGGGTTTGAGATGAAGCCACTTAGGAAAGGAATTAAGTGTCAGCCAGCAGCTGACCCAACCTATGCCTTACAGAGAGCACAGAGCCTTGGGTCGGGACTCCAGCCCACGCCCGGGGCCACTCACTACATGTCTGAGGTGGAGCTGGGCGCAGCCTGCAGGTACAAGTTCTGGTAGTTCTGGAAGAGGCTGTTGGTGTAACTGATGCACTCAGGGCTCCGGGTGCCATAGGGATTGGTGGGTGAAGATGCTGGGTAGTGGCCGGGCCGGACGGGTTTGGCTGTGGTAAAGCAAGGAAAATGACCATGAGGAGGCCGTTTCCCTGCAGTTGCCCCGGTCCTGGATGTCACGGAGCTGGAGCTGAACCGAGCTGCTCATGACATCACTCACTTTTATACGTTTTGGGGGGATGGTAGTGGGGTGATCCTGGGGTGGAGGTAGGAGAGAAAGCAATCATCTAGTTGCCTGACCCTTAGGAACGTGCTGATCTCCCCCGGCGGTAATCCCACCTGGGCTACTGCCACCTACAGCCACTCACCAATCTGAGCAGAATGGCCCCGCTTGCCGGAGCTCTTGTACCGGACGGCCTCCTTGATGCGGTCCACCTCCTGCTGGTACCGGCGCTTGTCCTTCATGGCTCCTTCCTTGGCCTCCTTCAGTGCACCCTCCAGGGCCTTAACTCTCTCAGCCGTAGCCCTAAGTCGTTTTTCCAATTTAGGAAGCTCACAACGCAGATCTGCATTGTCACGTACCAGCTGTGGGGTAAGCCCGAGGGAAGAGGCCAAGGCAGAGCCGGACACCAAGAGAGAGCCAGCGGTGGAGCATGGGGGTGCGGGGCAGGGAGAGAGAATAAAGAGAAATCAAGTCAGGGAAGACGGAGACAGCACTCTTTCCTCGAAAGGCCTCGTTCCCTTGACCTAACTGCTCTTCTGGCCTGTTTTTTCCTTCTCCCGGAGCAAACAGTGGTCAGGCATGAAAAAGTCACATCGTTTTCTGAGTAGCAAAACGTGCCAGCTCCACTGTAGCCCAGAACTCTTGGGACGGTGCTCCGTCCCAGTCTTTTCCTGGCCTCGATACCCACCCCCCAATACCTCACCGCTTGTGCCAGACCAACAGCCCCAGGGCAACCGTGGTGATGAGGCACCCCTCACCCAGAGATGGCTTTGTAGGCATGCACAGGGCGGGACAGCAAGAGCGCAGGGGCAGTCTGGAAGGTGGATATGGTTTTGAGGGCAGGTTAGGTGCAGTGGAGAGCAGGAGCAGAAGCTGAAACATGGGAGCCCCCCTCACCCCCCACCCACACATTCACACAGCACCCCACAGGAAGGAAAGAAAATGTTTGAAGGCTCACAAACATTTGTGCTCGTTACCTTCACATTCAAGGATTTCCTGGGCTGTCCTTCCCCCATTTAATTTAAGCTAGAGAGTGGTAGCAACCACCTTGCAGCCAGAGAAGACTTCCTGATCTTTTTATAGGATTGCGCAGAATAAACGGGGGGGTGGGGGTGCTCCGGCCTGCAGGAGCCGGCCTTGGAAGATACCAGGTAAGCTGGTAGAGCAGGGAGACCGGGGAGAAAGAGCAGAGCCTGGAAATACATCTGTGCCCCTTCCACTTTGGACAATTTAAAGATTATAAACAATGGTTGGCTGTGACAAGAGTTCAGCTTAATTAAGACTAGGGCTGAAGGCCCTGGCTATTTAAGAGTCTGTGAACTGAGAAGTTTCTACATCTCTCTCATTTCCCTTTCTAGTCTTGCATCTGCTGAGGTAGGACATTGTGAGGAGGCCTCCGTCATCTAGGTGAGTTGTTTTTGGTCTTTGGAACTTTGAGCAGAGAGAGGCAGCGGCTTCAGTGAGGAAAAAGGAAACAGTCTGTGGTTTCCCGACACATCCGACACTGTGGATAAGCCTGGAGGGCATGATGCCGAGTGTAATAAGCCAGCCACAAAAGGACAAATCCTGCAGGATTCCACTTACAGGAAGTACTTCAAGGAGTCAAAATCATAGAGAACAAAAGAAGAATGGTGGTTGCCAGGGGCTGGGAGGGAGGGGGATGGGAGTTACTGGGTAGTGGGTATAGAGGTGCAGTTTTACAAGATGACAGGGATGGGGAAGGACGGTGGGGGTGTTGCACATTTAATGTGCATTTAATGCATGTAATACCACTGAACTTAAAGATTGTTCTGGTGGCAAATTTTATGTGTATTTTACCACAATAAAAATATTGGGAAAAAATGAGCAATACGGCGTGCATTTGGACAGAGAAGGAAAGTGAACACAGAGAAAGGAACATAGGAAGGCAGAACTGATTACAAATGTTTCTTCCCTGGACTTTGAACTTTTCCGGAATGTTGTTACATTGTTATACTGCTGTATAATAAGCAAAGGGGGAAAGATGATAGTACAGCCCTCTGCGGGCCCAGATAAAATAAATATGCCCTGCAGATTATCACTGGGCCACGGTTCTGGGATTTTTTTTTAAATTATATATGTTAAAAAAAAAAAAAAGATGTGCCACGTATCTGCCACATATGCTGGGCATTGCACTGAGAAATTTAAGCTCCGGTTTAGTGAGAATATGAGTCTAGATCAAATGTTCAGGTGGGTTTGAAAGAAAGGGAATAAAGTATAGATTGGGGTTTATTTCACGAGTCAGTTAGAAGAGCCAGTTGACACACTGTGGCATGTCTTCAAGGCTCAGATATTTGGCGCCTGCGAGGGTGCTCCTGCTCTGTATGCACCAAACATTTCCTGTCCTGACTCCTTTGGACTGCCCCTTCTACCTCCCCACCCCATACCTTTGAAACCCAGTCATCCACCTAGGGAGCCGCAGCAGCAAGGAGGGGGACAGAGAGGCAGCAACTTAATACACAGGAGTTTCAACCAGGCCCACCCAGGGGCTGGTTGAGCCATCTGGAGGACATCCTTTAATTACCCTGCATGCCTGCCCCAGGCCTACGCAGATGGAGTTCTCTCCGTGAGAGAAAGCCCAACTTCCCTGGCTTCTCCTTGCCTCTGACCAGTATCCCTCCTGTGTAGTTACAGCCCCGTGCCTCTGAAACCTCTACCAGTTTCAACCTCTCCCTCCAAATCCATAGGCCTGGGGGATTTCACTTTGAGCAGAGGCAGTTGGGAGCTTTGAGAAGGGAGAACAGGCATGGAACAAAGAACAGGGTAAAAGTGGAACCAAACATGGATAAAGAAGGGATTCATAGGAAAAGTAAAGGGAAAAGTAAGGAAAACATGCAAAAGCAGATTTCCTAAATCCAAGGGACCTCGGAGGATTTGGGTCTCCTAGGCACCTAGCCTCGAGAGTTCTCTTCACCCCTTCCCCTACTCTTACCTGTTTGTGAACCTTTGTAAGCTGTTCCAGGTTGTTCTCAAGAAAGGAAATCTTCTGCTTTTGGGAGTGAATCCCCCCACTGTCCTCGGGCTCCATTTCTGCACTCTGATGAAAGACGGGGGGAAAGATGTGGCTGTCCCAGGCCAAAAAGGTCTCACCCACACCAGACCAAGCCATCTCCACTGGAGGCCACAGGGGTTGGAGAAACCTGCGGGCAGGGGACAGTACAGGGGCTGGGAAGATTCCAAGGATGGCACTCACTTTCTTGACTCGAGTCGTGACGTCTTGAACGAACAGCTTGCGAAGGTTGTGGAGGGTCTGGAGTTCCCGGGCCTGGAAAGAATGATGACACATTGTGGGTAGCCAAATACCAGGTCAATATTTTCGCTCCAAAATCATAGGAAGCGTCAGTCTATCTGGGCAGGTGAATCACTCATCCTTTAGGAAAAGATGTGTCCTGATTATGCCACAGACTGACACTGTATAAGGAATGGGGTTATGGAGAAGTCAGGGAAAGAAAGGAAGCCCCCACCTCACCCTGTTAACTTGGCACAGAGGGAAACCACTCACAACTGTCTCCTCCAGACCCTTGAGGTCCTGCTTGGACTGTTCATGTCGCTCGTACAGAAATCTGGGGCGAGAAGGAAACACAAGAGTCCCTCAGGACTGTCCTTCCTCCCTCTCCCCTCCCTCTCCATTCCTTTGATCTAGACTTTATTATTACTTATTATACAAGTTTCTCATGTTTGCTATGCAGAAATTAGAAAAGAAAACTAAAGTAAGATGAGTTTCATAAAAAGCCCATAATTCTACTACTGACAGATCAAACCAACATAACATTCTGGTGTCAGTCTTTCCAGACTCTTATTTCTATGCAGGTATATCCCACAAAAATTATATGGGATCATACCATTCATACTGTTTTGTAGCCTGCTTTTCACCCTTAACAGAACATCACAGGCATCTTTCCAGGCCAGGGCAGCTAATATCCAACAGAGGTCATTTCTGAACGTCTCTCTCTCTCTCCTTTTTTTTTTTTTTGGTCCTTCCCCACCCCATCCTATGACTCGTCTGAGACATTTGCTTCCTGTGGCCATTGTGCCCTGCCTCTGCAGGCGTCATGGGTAGTGGTCTGGGCCATCACTCACGTCAGCTCCTGGAGTTTGCTGCTCTTCTCATGTTCTTCGTTCTTCAGCTTCTCGTAGTCAGCCTGAAGCTTCTCTAGCTCTAATTGCAGCTTCTGATTCAGGCTGCAGAGGGCAAGGAGGTGTTGGAGAGAACAAAAAGGTTATTAATGAGGGGGGAAAGGGAAGACCAGCCCTGTGAAAATTTTCCTTCTGGTACAAGTGGGTCTGGTCAGGACTGAGGGACGCATCTACTTTCGAATTATCGGAGGCAGACGCAGGCCACGGTTTCCATGACAGAGTGAGAAGCCATGGGCTACCCAATCACAAGAGCTCAAGGAGAAGAACTAGTCCTCACTCCCGTGCCTCCTGGAGCTGGGCTACAAAGCTGTGGCATGGTCAGGGGGAGTGGCCCGTGGAAGTGAACAAACCAGACCCTGGGCCAAGAGGGAGCCGTGGAGGCCGGAGCCACCCAGGGGGACTCTTACTCTTTGAGCTCATCGATGGTCTTCTGCTTCTCATTGATCTCATCCCGGAGCCGGGCCAGCTGCCGGTGATGGGCCTCCCTGTGACTCTCCATCTGCACCTCCAGGGCCTTCTGCGAACAGCCCCACCCCACGCTCAAAGCCAGACTCCCAGGCACCAGCTGGGAGAGGGCCGGCGCGGCCGTGCTGGGCCCCGGCTATGCCCCGGCTGTGCCCTGCGCCTTCCCCACTCACCTTTACGTCATCTGCATCCTGTGTGTCTGGCTCCTTGTCCTTCAGGGCCACTTCATGCACAGTTTCTGAGGGAAAGAGGGAAAGGAGCATGGCTTACATCGCACCTACCTCCTCCAGAAAGAACTTCACTTTGCGACCAGAGCTGCAGGTAGGGCAGGGGACATGGACCCTCAGGGATATGGGCCCTCAGGGATATTCTTCTGGGTTAGGACAGTGCGATTTGATACGACAGGGAAAGAGATCCACGGAGGGTTCATGGCTTGTGTACAATAAGCTACAGGCCAAAGCTTCCACAATCTCCGTCTAATGCATGGGAGGAGTATGCTGTTAGGAGGTCTATTTGATGTTTGTGGCTTTTCCTCCCTGCCCCCCTCCAGGATCTCAGATCCCAGGTCATGTGGTTTAGAGGTTGAAGAAGGCCTCACCCTGGGCCTGCAGCTTGGCCAGCTCGTCGCTCAGGGAGTCATAGGACTCTTCCAGGTGCCGCTTCTTTAGTTCCACACTCTGCATATATTCTGTAAGCGAGCGGATCTTGGCCTCATGCTAATGGGGGAAGGGTTAGTGAGCGGAAGAAGAGGGATGGAGTCAAGGACACAGCTGGGTGACACTGACCTCTGCAGCTTTCCTCCCAGGCCCTCCCCGTCTGCTGCACCGGCCTGAAGACACAGGGCCAGGGGCCCTTTCTTTGGAGATGCTTCCTTTAGACCCCATCAGCTCAGAGGGTGGTATCCCCTCTGAACCTTCCCTTCCCTGGCCTGGACCCTCCCCGGCTAGCCCAGGCTCTTCTGTCCTGGACTGTGGTTGACCCTAGGCCCTTGACATGACGGCAGGTGCTGGGAGTCTTATCCCATAGCCACAGAATTGTCCTCCTTCCCACGGCGTGCCAAGACTCTCAGGGCCCAGCACTCACCTGGGAGATGAGGAGCTGGCAGGATGAGAGCTCCCGCCCAGTCACCTCCATCTTGCGATGACATTCAACCTGCAGGTTCTCTAGCTGCCGGCAGCGCTTGACCACAGACTTGACTTCCGACTTGATTTTGCTGATATAGAGTCGGGCCACCGTGAACTCCTCCTCGATGGCTCCGCTGATCTCCACCGGCTGCAGGGTGGGAGAGGGCAGGAAGAGGTGCTTCTCGGCTGCAGGGAAGCTTCTTCCCATTCCCGTGCATTCTGCCCATCCCCGCATACACCCGCACACACACAGACTCGGGTGGCACACGTATCTTCCAAACAACTTTTAGCTGCTCTCACCTGGCATTTCATACTAAATCCTTCTCCCTGCACTTAAAGATCCAATTCTGACAGTCGCCCTCTTCCATCTTATAAAGCAATGTGATTTGGAGTCACACTGATCTGCTTGATCAGCCTGATGGTCACTGTTACGGATTTGCGTATCTCATTCCCAGCTCTGTGCCTCACCTCTCATGCCAGCTATATGCACATCTCCATGGCCTCTTATTCAGCACCCTCTAGAAGGTGTATTTACAGCTGAGGCTATACAAATTCTACTTGTTTTCCCGGGTCTAGTTTAAAGGCGTGTTTCCTGGCTCTTTGGCCCACCTTCCTCAGTATCCCTGAGGGCCTGGGTGGTGCCCCCCTGCCTCTCCCACCAGTGCCCAGAGCAAGAATGACCTGCTGCCCCCAGCCCCACTCACCAGCTTAATCTCCCCGTTGCCCACGATGACACTGAACTCACTCAGGTCCTTCATCAGCCCATTCAGCACCTCCGCAATTCGCTTCCGCTGGTGTCCACTGACCTCTTGTAGCCGCTGCAACTCAGACTCCAGAGCCAGCATGGTGGCCTGGGGACAGCCCCTCACGTCATCCCGCTGCCATCTGCCCACCCCACTCCCTAGCCCGGGCAGAGCCTCCGCCTTGTATATGACCCCGAGGGCTGCTACAGAGAGAACACAGGCCCTGCCCAAGGGTCTGGGAGAGACAGGGGTCAGGAGGGCGAAGGGTGGTGACAGGGTGGGAGAGGGTCCCCTGGCACACAGCACAGCAGGGCAAAGGTACGAGTGTGATGTGGCCCCTGGGGCACAGAGGTCCCTTGGGACGTGGCGGATGTTCTGGAGGCCAGCGGGTTCCTGGACCCCGGTCAGACACTCACCACCTTCTGAGACAGCTCATCCACCAGAAGCTGGTTTTGCTGGCTCTTCTCCTCCACTTCCTGGGACTTCTGGTCGTAGTTCACAGCCAGCTCCTCCAAGGCCTGCAGCACCTCCTTCACCTCCTCCTTAGCAGCATCGTTCTCTGACTGCAGGTGGCTCAGCTCCCGCTGGACCTTCTCGTTGTCTCCTCGAGTGGATACCAGCAGCTTGGAGGAAGAGGCAAGGCACGTGAGGGGGTCTGCTGCCAGCAACCACCTCTATGGCCCCCTGGTCTGGGGAAGCCGAGAACACTGCCCCAGACGGGGCCTCTCTGGCACCCTAAGCCTGGAGGGCAGAGCTCCAGGAGAGGGGCGAGGGTCAAAGCAAGAATCAAGAGGAAGTGGGCTGCAGGTTTCACGGAAGGAAGAAGCACCCAGACTCCAAATCTGTGTTTTACACAAAGCCCCAGTTAAGTCCCCAGACTTCGATAGTTTGGGCGGGGGTGGTTGGGGGGGGGTGACCAAGCCCAACGCAGAAAACTAAGCGCTTCTTCTATCTGGTTGTAAAAGGTCTTTTATGCCTTTTAGGGAACACACCGCTCTCCTCTCATGTCTTGCCCTCCTTCCCATTACCTCTTCCTGGTCCAGCATCTGCTGCTTAAGCTTCTCTATGAGCTGGCTCTGCTGGTTGATCTCATCGTCCTGTTGGAGGCAAGGGGGAAAGATGGAGTGAAGGGAAGCTCCATCGAGTCTGGACTTATGGAGGTGGGGCAGAGGTAGGATCCTGACAAAAATCCAGACAGTTCAGGCTTTGAGTTAGAAACCCCATATCCTAAAAAGAAGTTTTTCCCTCAGTCTCTTGCCTTACTCCTGCCCTCACTTTCAAATTCCTTTCTCCCTGGAAGGTGGTATAACCTTGACAATACACAGCAAAAGCCTTTAGGTTCAAGTGCATGTCCTCTAACCTAGAAATCCCACTTTAGTGCTCCATTCTAATCAAATCTTTCAAAAGCAAAGTCTTGGGCTTCAGAGGCAAAGATAGTGCTTTCAGAATTACTTACAAGAGCAAGAACAAGCTACTAAAAGCAAAGAAGACTAGAAGCCTTAGAAGACTAGAAATAAACAAATGGTTCAATACATTTTGATAAATGGACTATTAGGCAGCCATTTAAAAAATACTTTTGTAAAGAATTGTTAACAAAGTAGGAAACTGCTCCTTATACAATGTAGAATGAGGAAATCAGATGCAAAGTTACATATAGTGTATCTCAGTTGCATGTTCTACATATGGAGAAAAGCAGAATGTTCATAGTATTATTTATGAATGGTGCAATGATGGATGACTTACATTTTCTTCTATATGTTTTTATTTCTCTTCTAAATTTCTTAATAGTACAATTTTTTATTAAGTTTAATTTTAATTCCAGTATAGTTAACATACAGTGTTTTATTAGCTTCAGGTGTATGATATTGTGATTCAACAATTCTAAACGTTACTCAGGGCTATTTTCCACAGGTTCAATAATGACCATTTGTCCCTTTTAAAATAAAAAAAAAGAAGGCAGGACAAGCGAATTCCTTAATCCCTGCCTTCTCATCCCACCGACCTCCCCTCTGTGCCCCGGGTGTCCTCACCTTGTCATCGAGCTGCTTATAGAGGCGGCGGATCTCCTCCTCGTATTTCTGCCGCTCCTCAGGCGCGATGCGCACCACGATGGATGAGTTGTCGTTCACAGGGGTCTCCTCACAGAGCTCAGCTCCCAGGGCTGCCTCATCCCCAGCCAGGCGCTCCGTCTCAGGCACATTCTCTCCTGGCCAAGAGGCAGAACAAGGTGAGGGATGGGAGAAGAGAAAGCTGCATCCAGAAGTCCTTCCTCCCCCACTCCTAACGCCAAGACCTCCAGGCAGGTCTCCATCTCTGTTGCCAAGTGCACGTTCAACATTTTCTGGGGGATGGGATAAGGGCGGTCAGCCCCCTCTCCACTTCCCTCACACCACTCGACTGCACCCCTCCAGAAACGCAGCCCTCCTGGGAGGTTGGCCTGCTCTGAAGCCCTGCCCCAGACAGGGCCCCACTGGTCCCCTCAGCCTCCTCCTCCCGCCACCTCTCACGCCCAGTGGAACCCTCTCTAACCATTGCGCCACCGGCTGAGCTCAGCCTCTAGCTTGGCGATCGTCTCCTTCTGAGCCTTTGTCTTCTCCTTCTCCTTCTCATATTTCTTCTTCCACTGCTCAGCAGTCAACTCCAGATTCACTGAGGCAGTGTTCTTAATGGTCTTTGCCCTGGGTGAGGGGAACAAGGACAGGAGACCTCCATGAAGGCTTGCGTGACACGGAGGGGAGAGAGCAACAGGGGCTGGCCCAGGAGTAGGGACCCTGCCACTGACCGCTGCCCGAACATCAGGGTGGACTTGGTCTCTGCATCGTTGTAGCTGGACGGTGAGCAGCAGATGAACATAGTTGTCCGGCAGTTTCCTCCCAGAGAGTCCTGGAGAATCCGTGTCATTTTGCTGTCACGATATGGAACGTAGCTTTTCTGGGGGAGGAGGGAGACCATGAATCAGAAAAATACTCAACAAGGGAATCAGGAAGGAGAGTGGTGCTGACTAGGGGTCGCGCACCCCATGCATCGGGTATGATGGGACGGGGCCTAAGGGACACTCACTGTGCCCTCAGCCAGTGCAGAGATCACGTTCCCAAGGGCTGACAGTGACTTGTTGATATTCTTTGCCTCATCCAGCACGGCTCCCTCTGCTCCGGTCTTGCTGACCTACCAGAGCATTAAGGGATGAGTGTGTCATGAGAGCTGCAGGGGGAGAGAGGGCTCTTGTGGCCTCTTCTCTACTCAGGGGGAGTCAGTCCAAGGAGGGGAGGGGACAGGGGAAGAGAATAGACAAGGCCCTTCCTCTGTTACCCTAAGCCCTCTTGCTAAAAGCCACCCCCTCCTGCCTCCATATGATACCATCCCATTTATATGAAATGTCCAGAAAAGGCAAATCCACAGAGACAAAACGTAGATTAGTGGTTGCCAGGGGCTAGGGGAGGGGGAAATAGGGAGTGACTGCTAACAGGTGATGAAAATGTTCTAGAATTAGTAGTGATGGGTGCACAACCTTCCAAGTATCCTAAAACCCATGGAACTGTATATTTCAAAATGGTGAACTTTGTGGTATGTGAATTATATCTCAATCAAAGAGTTATTTTGATTTTAAAAAGTACCCCCCCCAGACCTCCTTCCCTACCCACCCCACCCCCAGGTGCCCAACCTTCTCGCTCCCTGCCAGGTCCACTAGATACAGCTTCCCACTGAGCTTCTGCTCAGTCTCCATGTTCTCCTGCTTGATGTTGATGAGGAAGATGCTGTGGCTTCGAGAACTGTGCTCATTCATGTCTGCAGGACAGAGGGAAGGGCGGTCCCTGTACTGACACCTACAGAGCCAAGGCCCTCAGCCCCCAGCCTCCACTGACCACTGGCCAACCCAGGGAGAAAGGGCACCTGCCAGGACTAGCCCCGCCACTGCATCTTCCAGGCAGCTGGGTCGCACACCCAAGAGAAGCCTCTCCTTCTGGAGGACATAGTCTGCCCTTGCTCACTTCCAGTCCCTCAGCCCCAGAGCACGTGGACAAGCAGCAGACTCCCAGACTCAAGAGCCCCTTAGATCCCCACTCACTGGTGACAGCCACATGACGATTTGATTTCCCCTCGTCAATCACATCTAAAATCTCCTCTGGGCTGGACACAAAGCGTTCGGTACAACCCTGCAGGGGGCGAATGGACAGTGACCCATAAACGTCGATCTGCAGATTATATTACCTGCACGCTGACCAGACAACCTTTCAAAACTGTCTTTTCCAAGCCCTCAGACTCTCCCCGGCCCCTTGGCACATCTCACTCCTCCAAGACATCTGCCCTCCAATTTCCGGGTCTCTGGTCTTCCCTCCTGCCACACCTCAAATCTCAATGCAGTGACCCCCACCCAGGTGCCCCTGTCCCCACTCTCACCTTGACAAATGGCACCCGATTCTTGTCTTCATGAACAGACAGATTTGTCTTGGTCACTGAATCAAGACAATGCAGGTAAGCAAGGCTAGTACCCTCACCCCCAACTCGTACCCTGTAGCCCACTGAGACAGTAGTCTCTTCTATGTGAAAAAAGGAGAGGGGCGCCTGGGTGGCCTAGTCAGTTGAGTCCGCCTCAGGTCATGATCTCACAGTCATGAAATTGAGCCCCGCGTGGGGCTTGGCACTCAGTGCAGAGTCTGCTTGTCCCTCACCCCTGCTCCTCCCACCCGCCCCACGGCACCACCACCACTCATGCGCTCTCTCTCTCAAGTAAGTAAATATATAAATTGAAAAAAATTTTTTTAAAAATGAAAAAAGAGAAAGACTTCCCCATGAAGCTTAAACTTCCAGCACACACTGAAAGCCAGTTTCTCCTCCTCCAGGATTGTAGCCTCAAGGTTCCAACTGGCCTCAGGCTGTTACTGTATAGGCCTGGATGTCGAAGCTCCCTCTTCTGACCCTTTTCGCTTTTGGAAATTTTGGTGAATGGGGGCAAGGGACACGGGTATGAGAGTGTGTGTCCTCTTCATCTCTTGCCAAAAGCAACGTGAGCTTTCTTTTCCTTGCCCTCCTCACACCCCCACTGCCCAATGGGGTTAAACATCACTCACCATCCAGAAGGTCGCGAATTTTGTCCAGGTAAATCTCAAAGTAAGAAACCTGGTCAGGGAGAAAGTGAAGAAGGCCTGTCTTAAACCTGACCCAGGGATCTCAAGTGAATGTGACCTGCTCAAATGGTAGTAGCAGGAGAGAAAGAGCAGAAGAGAGTATCTTGGCAGAGAAGAACGGTGGTAACCAGAGCAGGAAAATAAGTTGGGGTGCCCAGGTCCTCAGAGGGCTCATTCTAGCTGTTCCCCTCCCAGGCCCCATCTGAGGATGCCCAGCTGTCATGCCATGATCACCTTGATGTGGAACTCAAGGTTCTCATCCATGGAGTAGATGTGGTTGAAGATGTCTCTGGCAATTCGAGGAATGATTCCCATCAGCTGGGGGTCATGCAGCTTTCCCTGGGGAGTAAAGGTATTCCAGAATGAGGCTGGGACTCAGAAAGAATGAGACAACTCAAGAGGTATGCAGGTGAACACAAAGGTCACAGTGGATAAGAAGACCATCTTGAGGTTGGAGGCAGTCACTGCCATGTCTACCTCTTACTGGAAAGATGAGAGAATTGAGTGGCCTTTTGGAATATTAGTGCAGCTGCTTTTCCAGATCAAAAGAAGAAAACCGGAGTAGTGGAAAGGATAGAAAACTGTAACAGGCTGGAGGGATTTCACTAAAGTTCCACTGTACTCCTGCCCCTCGGTTCATCCTCCAGACCAAGCAAGCTTGATTCTTAGATCTTGCCCCACTGAGATTCCGTGGCCTCCCATTTACACTCCCAGCTCCTCACCCCTCATGGAAGTCAGAACCCTCACCTCCATGGTATGTGTTTTCCCTGAGGATGTCTGTCCATAAGCAAAAATGGTGCCATTGTAGCCAGCAAGGACATCTGGAAGACACAGCAGAGAAAGAGCACTGGTGGAAAGAAGTGGGGTAAGGAATGGGGAACCTGAAAACATACATTCTAAAAATACATCTTACAAAGATAATACAGATTACCTTTGACAATCTGCATGGCACACGCATGATAAACTTGCTCCTGAGTCGTGTTTGGGGGGAACACACGGTCAAAGACATATGGCTTCCCCTAGAATGGGAATAAAACAGGGCAGACATTGGCAGTCAGGATGTGAGGGAGAAGAAATACCGCAGCCCCCGTCCATTAGCCTGAGAAGGCATCTGGTTTTTCAGCCCTCTGTATCTGCGGATGATCTGGGGGGTGAGGGGGACTAGAGAAGGAGGAACAAAAGTTAGTACTGACACCAGGAGCTGTTCCACGCACTAGAGAGTGCCATTGAGAAGTGTCACAGCGTGCGACTGTGTGAGGGGATCTCAGCCTTGGTGTGATGATTTAGCATTCCACCACTCCAGCCCCCTCCCTGGGAAACCAAACAGGAAAAGACAGTAGGGCCACAGGCCATGGAGAGTACAAAACAATACATTAACATTAAAAATCTAGGGGCGCCTGGGTGGCTCAGTCAGTGAAGCATCTGCCTTCAGTTCAGGTCATGATCCCGGGGTCCTGGGATGGAGCCCACATCAGGCTCCTTGCTAAGTGGGGAGCCTGCTTCTCCCTCTCCCTGCCATTCCCCCTGCTTGTGCTCTTGCTCTCTCTCTCTGACAAATAAATAAATAAAATCTTTAAACACATTAAAAATCTACCTCTAGGTTTAAAAATATCTTCCTCAATAGATCCATATGTCCTGATATGGAAGGATCTTGCACTAAGCGAAAGATGCCAAGTTAGGGACATATGTTTAGTATGTTCCCTATTACATAAATGAAATATACATATACCAAGCTGCTGAGCTGTTGTACAAACATTAACACAAGCTCTCTCTGTGAAAGAAATACATGAAATCAGAAACATGGGTTTCCTTTTAAGGAATCAACTTTAAGTAAAGAGAAACTGAAACAAATCACTGACCTACAAGTATTTTGTTTCATTTAGGTTATATGTTACAAATCGTGTGCGCTGATAAGATGTTAAAGATACAAAATATTTACAACCTGGGGAGCCAAACAAAGAATATATTCACTATCTAATCATACTAAAGGGAAGATCTCTGGTAAGATTAAATGAGACTATGCTTGTTCTCCATCACAAGTGACAAATTTCTCAGTCGTGTTTTCCTGCCATTCAGTATAAAGAGCCTATGACTTAGGGGCGCCCGGGTGGCTCAGTTGGTTTAGCGACTGCCTTCGGCTCAGGTCATGATCCTGGAGTCCCAGGATCGAGTCCCATATCGGGCTCCCTGCTCAGCAGGGAGTCTGCTTCTCCCTCTGACCCTCCCCCCTCTCATGCTCTCTCTCTCTCTCTCTCTCTCTAATAAATAAATAAAACCTTTTTTTTAAAAAAGAGCCTATGACTTAGTTGTCACATTGTTTTACTGCAGAGCCCATCTTTATCCATCTGAAATGTAAAGCTCTAAGTCTATGTTCACCAGAGTTCGGGAGACATGTTTTAACTAATTAAGGAAAATCATAAAACTTTTATTGGCCAGAACTGGAGATAGTGGCTCTAGGAATATTCACAATATTCCATCTATATAGAATTGATTATGATACCTCCATATTCTACTCCCATTAAAATGGGTGAGGTTGGTTTACATATATTGACATGTTCAAGCCCAATTGAGTGAAAAAATAAAAACAGTGTGTGTAATGTGATTATATTTTTTTAAAAGCATATGGACAGAACAGCCTTAAAAAAAAGACATGGAAGATTACATGCAGACCTACTGATGGTGGTTATCACCAGAGAGCAGAGTAACAGGCTTGCAACATCTTTTGTGTGTGATATTTAAATGTTTTACAGTGACAACATACTGCTTTTAAATTAAAAATGTAAAATATTATAGGTGATGTTATAGAAAAATATGTAATCACAAGACAAGGTATACACAAAATACTGTTAATCAAAAAATAGTATGCAAAAAATAAATACATAAAATAGTATGCAGTGTAAAAAACAAAAAAGTATGTAAAGGATGATTCCATTTCTGTAAAAAAAAAAAATGTATTTGTTTAGATGTACACCTTGCTTAGAAAAACATGGTAAGGGGTACCTGGGTGGCTCAGTCGGTTAAGTGTCTGACTTCAGCTCATGTCATGATCTCAGGGTCCTCAAGCCCCATGTGTTGAGCCCCATGTGTTGGGTTCTGCGCTCAGCAGGGAAACTGCTTGTCCCCTCTCCCTCTGCCCCTCCCTCTGCTTATGCTCTCTCTGTCTCTCTTTCAAATAAATAAATAAAATCTTTAACAAAAAAACATGTTAATAGTGGTTATCCTTGGACAGTGGAATTTTAGGAGTTTCTCTTCTCTTTTCTTTAGATTGAAAACTTTTCTAAAATTAAGGGCACCTGGCTGGTTTAGTTGGAAGAGCATGCAACTCTTGATCTCGGGGTCGTGAGTTTAAGCCCTACATTGGGTGTAGAGATTACTTAAATAAATAAATAAACATAAAAAAAAGAAATTTCTCTAAAATGAAAATGCATATTTTTAAAAAAAGAAAATTTTAAGTTTCAAAGATATTAACATTCTTACTATATAAAGAACTCTCATAAATTAGTAACAAAAAAGATAAACCTCAAGAGAAAAAAATGGACAAGATCTAGGTACTAACAATGGAAAAATACAAATTCAAACTAAAACAGTAATGTCGTTACTCACTTATCGAATTGAAAGACACAAACTTAATTGGAATACCCAGGGTAGATAAGGGTTCAAGGAGGTATAATTTCCTTGAAATAAGCACCTTCATCCTTTTCTAGTAGGACAGTAAGTCCATACAACTTTTATGGGGGCAATTCAGAAATACATAATCAAAAGTTGTGAATTGCACATATCCAATGACTCAGATGTTCTACTTCTAAGAATTTATACCACAAAAATATTTTTGGCAAATATTTAGTTACAAGAATGTTTATTATCACACTGTCTTATAATAACAAGAAATTGAAAGCAACTGAAAAGAATAATATTTAGGGGACTGGTTAACATAAGGAATTGATTAAATAATGGCGTGTGTATATTTTCATTCTTTGTTGCTATTTAAAATGATGTCATAATAGAGGCGCCTGGTAGCTCAGTTGGTTATATGTCTGACTCTGATTTCAGCTCAGGTCTCAATCTCAGGGTCGTGAAATCAAGCCCTGCATTGGGCTCCAAGTAGGCGTGGAGCCTACTTAAAATAAAATAAATAATAAAATAAAATAAAATGATGTCATAATAGAACATCAATAAATCTCAAAAGTGTGTTAGTAAAAGAACTCAAACACAAGGGAGCACATACTGTATTATTCCCTTTGTATGAAATTCAAGAAAGGACAAAACTTAGCTAGTGATAGAAGTCACAATACTGGATGCCTGGGAGCAATACTAACAGGCAGGGGCAAGAAGGAGCTTTCAGGGGTGATAGAAATACTCTAGATTCCTATCTGGGTCGTGGTTACATGGGTGTCAAAATATGTTATAAAATTCATCAAACCGTTTGCATAAGATTTGTGCCCTCAGTGTATGTAAAGTATACCTCAATAAGTGCTCTCATAAAATATAACATCATAAAATGATGTTATAATGGCTCTTAAAAATGGCTGGTTGATGCACAACCTCATTAATAAGAGAAATGCATATTAAAACTATGAAATACCATTTTAATCTATCAAAGTGGCCAAAATAAAATATTTTGACAATGTATTGCATTGGAGAGGGCATATACAGACCAGGGGCAACTTTATATGAGAGGCAGTTTGGAACCAGTTCTTAAATTTTTAAGTGCATATATTTTAAGACCTCAACTTCTAAAAATGTATCCTATAGACATATGCAGTATTTATATATACACAAGGTTATTCAATTGTTTGTAATAGCAACTTATTAGGATAACCCTAAAAGTCCATTAATAGAGACCTGGTTAAATAAATTGTGGCGGGGCGCCTGGGTGGCTCAGTCGTTAAGCGTCTGCCTTCGGCTCAGGTCATGATCCCAGGGTCCTGGGATCGAGCCCCGCATCGGGCTCCCTGCTCAGCAGGAAGCCTGCTTCTCCCTCTCCCACTTCCCCTGCTTGTGTTCCCTCTCTCACTGTGCCTCTCTCTGTCAAATAAATAAATAAATAACCTTAAAAAAAATAGAATGAGATATATCTTTATGTTAAGGAAGAATCTCCTAGACTCATTGTTAAGTTAAAAAAAAAAAAAAAAGCTGGGGCGCCTGGGTGGCTCAGTCAGTTGAGCATCTATCTGCCTTCAGCTCAGGTCCTGATCCCAGGGTCCTGCCCCACATCGGGCTCCCTGCTCAGCAGGGAGTCTGCTTCTCCTTCTGACCCTCCCCCCTCTCATGCTCTGTCTCTCTCTCTCTCTCATGCTCTCAAATAAATAAATAAAATCTTAAAAAAAAAAGCAAGGTACAGAATAGTATGTATACTATGCTACCATTCTTCTTAAAAAAAAAAAAAGTATATGCCAGGCACCTGGCTGGCTCAGTAGGTAGAACTTGCGATTCTTGATCTCGGGATTGTGAGTTCAAGCCCACATTGGGTATAGAGATTGCTTAAAATAAATAAAAAAATTTTTTTAAAGTATATGCACATATATATGTAATTGCTTATAAATGTATAGTATGCTTTTAGAAAGACCCATAAGAAACTGGTAAAAAGGTTGCCTTCTGAAAGGGGAACTGGGTGGCTAGAAAAGAGAGGTAGGAAGGAGGCTTACTTTTCATTGCATACATTTTTATATCATTTGAATTTTGTCACATGTGCATGTTAAGATTAATGTAAAAATTAAACGTTTTTAAAAATAAATAAAATTATGTAAAATATTTAGTAACGGTAAAATAGTCATGGTATTATGTTAGTGAAAGAGCTGAGTTACAAAACAATATATAGTTTATGATACACTTTTATTAAAATTAATGTATGTGTATACGCAGCAAAAACTCACTGGAAACAAATACATTAAATTGTTAACTGTTTTTCTTGGGGAGCTGGGATTTTGAGTGATTTTTAGTTTCTTGTATATGCTTCTCTTTGTTTTTAATTTTGTCAACAATTAAAACATATTAGTGTTGTAATCAGACTATATTTAAT